ATGGCAATGGTATTATCAGACGACACTCTGTCCATACTATATACAACATGGAGAGATCTGCCTGATGAATGAAAACTCGGAAAGAGATGGCATACCTATATATAGCTGAGATGGTAGGTCGTATGAGGTATATATAGTTTATGTCGAATGCCTTCCATACAGATATATACCTATCAAACGACATGCACAGCCATATGAGCCATAGAGATTCCCCATGTTTTCCTTATCAGCTTGATGCCATAATATATACCTATCGCCAAAGCCGACGGCGCACTAGCAACAACATCGCATCAAGAGAAAGCACGCAGAGATATTCCACCATTTGAAAGTCGAATTCCCGAAATTGTTTTCCGTCAACGCACTATCATACGCATTTTGCATGGTCTTGAAACGGAGAAAGGGAACGATCCTGATCGAATTCCATGCACCCATTATTCTCAAAGAGTGAGCACCATCACACAGAAAATAATTTTGTACGTAAAATTAATGAACGGCGGTCGTCAATTTTTTGAACATTAATAATACGAATCGATGATTATTACAATCATTTCTGATGATGGGTTCATACCGCAAGACACTGAAACAATGAACGAGCCAACATTGAACAATGAACGAAAAACATCAAAAGTTAATCATTTTTTTCATTCATGTGATGAAAAAATTCATTGAATCAACGTTTGATGTTTATTGATCTATGTTTCTCATCATTGGAGCAATAAACTTTTCTCCATAGATCTATCAACAACAAACATAAGAAAATAATGAATAGTCTTCATTGTTTCAATGAACACTAAACGTTGATTTCATGAAATGAAACATCAACTTCCAAAACAGGCGCCAAATTGATGCTGCCTACCCATGGATCAATCACGCCAAACATTATTACTATGAAAAGGTTCATAATACGCGGTGAATTTTTCATTTGCCGTTTCATTTTATTTCTATTCGTTCAGTTGTTAATGAAAAGTTGAAAGGGCTGGGTCGTGTTTTGTGTTTCTGTGGCTCGTAGAATTCCTACCTATTTGTGAAATTGTGCCAGATCAAAGGGATACAAAACCTAACATATTTGAGAAAGGTGAGTCCTGTTAATTTTGAATTACTTTTTTCACAATTCTTACGATTAGGATATATTTACTCAGCAAACATTGAACTAGCTGGAGAATTCCGGCCTGCAGGCAAGTGTGAGAAAGTGTCGATGCCGGTGTATTGGTAATGGCCGATGATTTCTCTATGCTAAGTAACCATCAATTGAAAATACGGTGATGGCCTTGTGATGGTATGATGTATAGAACGAGTTAAGCACTAACGAGTTGAGGCCCCTTGCTGGCCAATATCCTGTTCACTACTCGTCCCACTGGTGGATTTTCTGGGAACGTCTACATCAACAATCAGCTGATCATTTCGATAATTATTATATGTCACTCTAGTGATAGCGTATGTTCCGTTTTTCTCTGGTTTGTTGTCATATCATTGTGCTCATCACTTCCCCTGGTCGTTATAATGATATAATGGCAGTTATGGTGGCAGGAGTATTCTCAATTGATAATATAGAAGATGGATTCTTCAATGATGATAATATGTATTGAGTAAGTATCAATCTACCTATCTAGTGTTCCAAATTTTGTTATGAAATGCATGTGTTTGTGATGATAATAATTGTAGTGGCTCCTACCTCTCCAGAAGCGTAACTATCATGGACTGCTTGGTTCGTTATTATCAGAAGTGATATAAGGTTATGGAAACCTGTCTCTATCATTGAAGTGGATAACAATAAGGCCTGTGCCAAAAAAATAACGAGACTTGAAAAGCTCCATATGTAAGTATATATCACGTAATCAGACTATATATTGATCAAGCTATAAACTCATGTAACAGAGTATTTTGTTTCTCATACTTCTATGAAGAAAGAATTCTGACATCAAGAAAGGCCACTTCATGATAACTTATGAAGAATTTTATATTTCAGGAGTACCTACCTCGCAACGAAGAATCTATTTTGGAGGAATGCTTCCCAAATAAGATGAAGATGTAGATATACCAGCCGGTAAGCAGTCACTCTGAGAAGTTTTATCATGAAAGAAGAGAGAGGTTAAGAAGATATCATTGTGTCATTCATAAATTGTTTCCTTGAAATCTGGTATGTGTCTATTTGATATAATATAATGATAAACATTAAAAAATATATTGAGTTACTAGAACTTCCAGATCAATTGGACCCCTGAAACCCCTACCCCTACCCCTCCCCCTCCCCTACCCCTCCTCTTACCCCTCCCCCTACCTCGTTAATATGTACCCAATGTCGATAATTGGCCATTACAGTCCCATCATTTATGTATATATGTGCTGGGCTTGCTACGGGCAACTCAATGTGTCGATTATCTTGTACCCATATCAAAATGTTTGCTGGGTAGGTACTCGTGGGATGCACAAGGTACTATTCTTTTTACAACTACTGGTTATTGTCATCATATTGTTATCATTTTATTTTCTACAGATAATGAAAATCAAGTTATTTAGGTGTTCAGATCAGTATTTTGCCTGATTTGACAAAATTTCCGTTGCCTTGTATAGGGAGAGGGAGTATAGGTGTTGGGATTTTTTTTTACTTCTGGAGGTTATTAGTTCTTGAAAATACTTTCATTGGCAAATAACTCCAAAGCTTCGCCGTTCTATAGACGAACGAGTTTTGGTAGAGTGTAGCTCACCATATTTCAGAGTTAACAAAGAAAGAATGTGCTGACTGGGCCTGTCGAGTTCGTCTGACTGGCATTGCTTGTGATTGAATTATAGCAGAAATTTCTGTGGAACATTTCCCTTATTATCAGGTACTCAAATATAATTATATTATAATGAATGGAAAGGGCAATATTTGTTTAATCCGACTAAAAATGTATAAGGTGAGCGAATATTTGTTTTTTTAATATATCGTCCAAGTTTATCAGTCTTCGATCATTCAGTGTATTTTTGACATTTCGGAAACATTTTTAGTTGACTTTATTAAAAAATATTCATTACATTTGTTATTCAATACAATTAGGTAGATTTCAACAAAAAATAAAAAAAATTATTAAGAAAACCAGTGTTCTGCGACTGCCTTGAGTGCCTTGTAAATGTATATTATATTATTCATCAGGTCTCATCAAATCAGTGGATGTACTAGATAATTTTGGGCCGATTTTGGGTTTTTCAAAATTTTAGAAATCAATTACTTTGATGCGTGAAAAAATTGTCCCCTTATTTCTAATAGTGACGATACTGTTGACAACATTATCTTCGACGACGACTATACCACTGTTAAATACCAATAGAATTTGTTCGTTACATCGATAACTGGCGAACATAGATTCATGCTCATTTTTCATTGATTCAATGAAGAGAATCATCAAGTGATGTCTATGGTTCGTAATATCAATAACCACCGATCATAGATCCATGCTAGCTGATTATTGATTCAATGTTCAGCTGTAATAAACTGAGTCTGTCCTTCGTAACTGGCACTTACATATTCATGCTCACTGTTAATTGATACAATGTACATCAACCATAAACCAATGTTCATCATCATAGATCCATGCTCGCTGTTTATTGATTCAATGTACAACAACCATGAACCAATGTAAATCCATTCGTAATATCAATAACCGGCAAACATAGATCCATGACCATTATTCGTTGATTCAACGTACTGCAGTCATAACTTAATCAACAAGAAAATTTACGTACGACCGTTCATTGTATTAATGACACCCGTCATCGGCCCAAAATTAATGTTGACGTTCACTGATTTGATGTACTTTTTTATTAATATAACGTACCTTTTTCGTTCTGTGCAGAATTGACACCAATTCTCTGCGAAATTTACCATCTCGTACAAGTCGGGTATTCTTCTTTCGTGCTGGAAAATAGCTATAGAGTCTAAACAGTCCCCAAAAAAGGAAACAGAAGGCTGCCCAATAACTATATAGGCCCATTGCCCTGTTATCCAAAGTCATGGAGAAAGTCATCAACATTGAGCATCATATCAAGTTCAGGAATAATTAATGATGGACAATATAATATAATAAACAATAATAAGTATATATGGTTTTTCCACCGAAGATCAAGATATGTATACTTATACCTACCTATATACTGTTGAGAATTATGAGAAGATTTCGGAAATGGACCAATATACGCGGGGTGCTGGTGTTCACTTTAAAAAATAATTCAACATTGCGCTTAGCCGCCATTTCAAAACTCTAAGCTGTCGTTTTTTCATGAAAAAGTCGGTTTTCACCTCCAATTCGAGCCCTCCAAATTTCGGTTCGATATACCAAGTGGTTCAAAATTAGTAGGGGAGGAATGGACTTTCTATAGGCGGGCACGGTTTGTACATATATACGTAGTGGTAGACAAATTTACCATATAATTTCAATATCCAATACTTTCGCATTCTTTCAGTGTAGGTATAGCTACATATATCAACATAATCGTAACATCTCTAATGTTGAATAACATGCATGGTGCAATTAATCATATTTTGGATGTTATGTGGAGAACTTGAATGCAATGGAAACACAGAACTCATAGACCGTTCTGTGAATGGAAATAGCACGAAGTCACAAGTATATCACCACATTTTCAGTGAAATTCCGCTAAATATATGTTAGCCTTCCACGGCAGACCACGTTCATATAATGAAAAAACGCGGTGATTACATTCCTCGTAACCCAACTTTACCGACCATTATGAAGTCAAACCCGCCCAAAGAATTATGCCAGTATTACCGCAATCTCTTAATCCACAGATGAATGTTAAATAAACCCGACGACCAGCCAAAGGCCCCACTAGTCCAGAATTCGATCCCCCTCCGATAATCCTAATCCGAACAGTCTCATCCCTTCCAAAAGCGCCATGCGCATGCCCAGTGAAGGGTTATTACGTAGGCTCCGCCCAGTCAAGTGGGCGTGGCGAGCTAGAGACAGAATACGATGGATCTGGTGCGTCTTACCAAGCCCTATAGCCCTATGGGTGCTGCTTGTCAAGCCTGACGAAGGGACAGTAGACAGTCGTGAGGTTCGCATCACTGACGTTGACGCTGCGAAAAAAGATACTTACGACCCCATGTGGTTGCGTGCGGAGTTCTAGTAGCGTTAGCGGGTTTTGTGTGGGTTTGTGACATTTTGGAAAGACAGGAAGTTTGTGTGGAAATGTTGGAGTTTTATCCCAATTTGAACTTGAATCCAGCCATGCTACCCGAAAGGAGCAGTATGTCTGGACCAGACTGTAATGGACGAACAGGTAGGTACTTATATTTATCTTATAACTCAATCAAAGCCTATGTATAAAAAAATACATATGAATCAGCATGCTCCAAATGTGTATGTTAGATTGTATAAATATGATTAGGAAGCTCGTCACTGATGATGGTTTGACAATTTTGACATTGACAGGCCCAACATATTCCAATATATCGATCACCCAATGCTATATAAAATTCTATATACCTAGGTACTTATTGAGCAGTCTAAGTCTATTATGAGAAGAATATGATAATGCTGAAGGTGATGACTATATATGATACGAATAGGATTGGAGAAAAGTGGATCTGCGATGAGTAGGTGGCAATGACATCATAAACGATGCGAGAGACGGTCGATGATCCACAAATTCATTTCTCCTAACGAATTGCTAATGATATCTACATAATATGAAATATATTGTTATATAGTTGAATTAATACCTACATATAGGTACACAATGATTATTGTGTGACGGTTTTTTCAAGATTCGAACGTTTTTGAAATTAGATATACGTGTTACCTATATAGTGAAAAATCGAAAAGTATTGACAGATATCAACAGATATGAAGAAATAAAAATACCCACCATGAGAATCAAGATTATTGATCTGTTTATTTTTATTTATATATAACAGTATATATTCAAACTACTTTTCTCATACAACAGGGTTATCAAGATTAATTCCCATTGAGCACAAAAATATCTCAAAGTTGTTACCTGAAATCATTGATCTAAATTTTGATCTATGCTGTAAGTATACGAGATGTCCGGTTATATCAAGTGATACGAACAATCGAACATTTAGAACAGAAAGTCGTCATCAAAGACCTCGATTTACTCGAAAAAAATCTTAGTTTGTTCTATCTGAAACGGCTGAGAAAGTAGCGAATCACTTGTCTGATCTCTGATTTGTTTTCAAATTCGTGTTTACCGTATACTTCATTCACCCTGGGTACGAAGTTTCAACCTCCTAGGTAATTCGATTTTCAATTTTTAGTGAAGCATGGTTTTATGTCTCATGGAGATAATGAAATATCTCAGCAACGGAGAAAGAAAGACCTATATCATGTAATAAATCGAATTCAAGATCTCCTCGAATCACTCGGAAAAATAGTTATTTATTATACAAGGGAAAAAGTAGTAGATTTTAGCTCCAGGTTGTGTTGTCTCCCGACGCGTAGCGGAGGGAGACAAAAAACCGTGAGCTAAAATCTAATATTTTTCCCGTGTATAATACCTACACTATTTTTTTCTGTGACAGAAGAAAGGACGTTTTAATATTGAGAAGATATCACATTATTTCGAAATCTGAAAATTATCGACGTGAAATTTTAAGTTTTTAACAGTAGGGACACCTGCGTTGTAGGCATCTTTATCATTCTTTTGAACTAATCAAATATCTGATGTCACTTCTGTCAGTCTAATTCTGTGATCTGTGATTTGATTTCAAAAAATCGCGAATTTAGTGGCTGTTTAGTAATATACGTATAACCGCGAAGTCGAATGGAAGATAAAAGTTCTTCCTCGGAGACGGTATTATCGACTAATTTTTCGGAACTATAGCACAACAAAAGCCATCAACAGTGTATGTATATGTGATATATATCCGGGAAAAAAGTACTCACTTTTTGCCCACGGGAAAAAAGTAATTTATGGACAGTGACATTTTATAACCTGCCAACAGAGGTGAAATGCCAAACTTTTTTCCCGTCACAGAAAAAAATCTTTGATTCTTGTTCTATCTTCAAAATCTGAGAAAGTAGTGAACCACTAGTCCGATCTTCTTCTCCCTTTCAAATTCGTGTTTACCGTAGCGCAGGTGGCGTTTATGAAGACATCCTTATTGGGATGTCACAAAAATACATTCTCCCTGGTGACGAGTCGAAAAAATATATGAAATGCTGAGATTCATAATTATTCACATGATTAGAGTTCAATTGTGTGTTAAATGGTGGAATTATTGAAAAAAATTTCGAGAACCATCATGAAAGTGCGGAAATTGAAATGTACCTATAAATTGAATACTTATATCTGCATTAACCTCTCAAGGCAGGCTATGTCATGCGTCTAGAATTGCACATCCACTTCTTCAGTATGACACTGAGAAGTGTCAAACTAGAACAGAATTTCCGAAGAAAAATATTTTGCATTTTTATGTTGAGAACGGGAGCAGATTCGTTCCCAAAACGTCCAAAGCTACGTAAAAATTCGATAGTTTTTTCAATTGATCTATATTTCTTCTCTTCAAACTTTCTTTCCAAACAAAGTTTCACTGACAAGCTATATCGGATTTTTCTTTTGAGGCTTCCTGATAGAATAAATGTGCTATTCACAGTGACATTTTGAGGCAAATCATCTGATTTGTCCTACTACACATATATTGAGATAATACTCATATTTTTATTCTATAGAAACCATCAGGAGAAAATCCCAAATTATCGAGTAAAATGGATAGCCACTGATGTGTTCGGCTCTACCACAAGATTCCACAAATTCCCCTATAAATACAACATCAATAAATAGTACCGTATATAGGTACACCTAAAATAGTTTATGTGTTCTTTGAATGTTTTGCCTGTGATAGACACAAAATTTTGATAGTAAACTCTGAAAAGTCACACATTGAAACAGGTTCCTATTATGTGTTATGAATATTTGATATTCGTCACAAATATTGTTACTATCATCTCAATTCCATTCAGTAGATGCAAAACCACAGTGTGCCCCGTTAATTTGTAAGAACAAACCTTGCCGATCCTCTTGAATCCAATACCGACTCCGAAAGCTAGGATAGTTGACAGAGCTTGTAGAGGTCAAGTCGAGTCAAGTTATGCAATGCGGAAACCTCCTGATAATGACTGAATCTGATCTCGTCTCCCATGCAAGGAAAAACTAAATGACACCCTCTGTCATTCTTACCTCAATCACACATTTTGACTCTCATCCAGCCGTATTCTGAAACTTGCTGGAGAACCATACCAATTCGTACATTCGTTATTGTTAATATACATACGACAACAATTATTTAACTTGTGCCAGTGATAGACACAAAATTGTGATAACCCTATGAAAATTCACATGCACATGATGGAAACAAAATCCTAGTGTGTTATAAATATTCGGTATTTGAGCTAACTAAATCAAATGTGTCTCAAATATTGTTACTATCAGAAAATATTGTGAAAACGCCCAATTTTTAACTGATCATCTCAATTCCATTCTGAGGATGCAAAACCACTGCGCTGAATATGGGCCATTAAAGGGATTTTATACAGTGTATACCCTGTTAATTTGTATGAGCAAACCTTGTCAACCCGCTCAAATCATATACCGACTTCGAAAGCTAGGAAAGACAGAGCTTGTATTGAGGTCAAGTTATGCAATCCGAAAACCTCCTGATGACTCCCATGCAAGGACAACTAAATGACACTTTCTGTCGTTCTTACCTCCATTCTGAAATTTGATAGAAAACCATACCAATTCGTACATTCGTTATTGTTGATATACATATGTCAACAATTCTTCAACTTGTGCCAGTGATAGACACAAAATTGTGATAACCCTATGAAAAGTCACATGCACATGGAAACAAGATCCTATATAGTGTGTTATAAATATTCAGTATCAACTAAATCAAATGTGTCTCAAATATTGTTACTATCAGAAGATATTGTGAAAACGCCCAATTTTTAACTGATCATCTCAATTCCATGCTGAAGATGCAAAACCACTGCGCTTAATATGTGCCATTAAAGGGATTTTATACAGAGTGTACCCCGTTAATTTGTAAGAGCAAACCTTGCCGACCCTCTTAGATCCTGCAGACTCCAAGAGCTAAAAGCTGACAGAGCTTGTAGAGCTCAAGTTATGCAATCCGGAAACCTCCTGATGACTGAATCTGATCTCGTCTTCCACGGAACATCGAAAGCGTTTTCTGGCCTCGCATAATGAGTGTTCCGGCAAAGCGGGGAAGATTGCATTAGGCAACCACCAGAACCACTCGGCCGATTAGGCGTGAAACGGTTAAGGCTCTTACACAATGCATAAATGCGGAAAAACGTGAGGAATAAAGCGACTGGGGCTGCTTTCGTTATTTTTTCAACAGATGAGATATGACGGGCGATGCCAATTTTAATGAGCTTGGATAAATGTCCATTTCAGCCCACAATGATAAACTATTTGAAACATAATTTATCGGATTATACAGGATGTCCCTAGAATGTCTGTACAAAATTTAAGCACAGACATTCCTATGGTTTGGTTTAACCTGCGTGAAAAATATCCCTTATTATATGCTTGTTGAATGATATACTATAAGCCAACTGGGAAAAGAATATTGGACATAGCTCTTGATATTAAACAAAGTGTATTCAATACTATAAAATCTCAGTACTTTGAGCGACTATTCATATATATAACTTGCTCTTCTCTCATCACATTCTGTTCTCTCAGTCTTTTCTTCAATATGTATTCCTCCTCCATCGCACTTATCTCATTCATCCCACTATCTTCGCAGCTTCCTCATGGTTTATAATCTTATCATTGAGATGATCACTATATCCTTAGCCGAAATATCTGTTATATCTTCAATAAAATCCACATCATCATATACATCAAGATATTATTTATTGAAATTGCAACTACTCGCGCTCCCGCCATTACTTTAAATTTTCATATGTCATTTCATACTTTTATAGAATCCATATTATCTAATATTAGAAAATGTGCGTGGAAACTACGAAATCACTGTATTGCTACCAGATGGAAAATATCAGCTTTTATCGATGACCGATGATCGATGGTGATATTCTGACCTCAATGATTAGCTACATATAATTAATTATGTTGACAGCGGTGAAGCCCTAGTACTCTTCCACCATTTCTTCAAATTTTGAAATTGGTTCCAATTTCTTATGCAGTTAATTATCTATCTATCTGGTGTTCGAACGTCATCAACTTATTTTTTCAGGCATTCCAACGTATCAACCATAATTTCATTTTCAGAAATATTTCATTTTATCAGTGATTTCATTCTGACGTTGAGAATGATCTCGGAATCTAGAAATGCAAAATTTTCAACATTCTTGAACTTGACATCAGTGTTTGTATCCCATGTTTATCAGAAATTGCTATTTTCTGAGACTTGTGAGTGCATTATTGTTTCATTGACAAAAAGAGCGTGAAATAACTCTTGCTCTCGATTCTCAATGCCATGTAACCAAAATTATTTTTGACAATCAAATTGGATAAATTGGCGGATATTATTGTCCTCCCGCCATTCATTCAAATCGTGCTCCAACCATTTATTCGAATCGACTATTTCACTCATCACATAATCTGATTAATACGAAATAACTGTATTGCTACCAAATGGAAAATATTAGCTTTTATCGATGAACGATGATCGATGGTGATATTCTGTCCTCATTGATTAGCTACATATAATTAATTATGTTCACAGCACAGCGGTGAAGACCTATTACGCTTCCACCATTTCTTAAAATTTTGAAATTGGTTTCAATTTCTCATGCAGTAATTATCTATCTATCTGGTGTTCGAACGTCTTCAACTTATTTTTTTAGGCATTCCAACGTATCAACCATCATTTAATTTTCAGAAATATTTCATTTAATCAGTGATTTCATTCTTAACGTCAGTGTTAAGAATGATCTCTAAAAAAATTGTTCTAAAATTGTTCTTTCCGTCATTCGGTTGCCCCCTTACGCGCAACCCTCAGAAGTCTTCGAGAGTCTTGTGCGAGTAAGGAATGACGGGGGCCTTACATTTTAACGTGTGATCCCAAACTGAATCTAGAAATGCAGAATTTTCAACATTCTTGAACTTGACATACGTGTTTGTAGAACAAATATTTTATGACACAACCCTTGAAACTCGTTCAGTTCAGTTTGTGCAGTTGTTCTACTCACAGACGGTCGTATCCCAAGTAATCAGAAATTGCTATTCACTGAGACTTGTGAGTGCATTATTATTCCATTGACAAAAAAAGCGTGAAAAAACTCTTGCTCTCGATTCTCACTGCCCTGTAACCAAAATTATTTTTGAGTATCAAATTGAATAAATTGGCGGATATTTATGTCCTCCCGCCATTTATTCAAATCGTGCTCCTGCCATTTATTCGAATCAACTATTTCACTCATCACATAATCTGATTAATACGAAATCACTGTATTGCTACCAAATGGAAAATATCAGCTTTTATCGATGAAAGATGATCGATGGTGATATTCTGACCTCAATGATTAGCTACATATGATTAATTATGTTCACAGCGGTGAAGACCTGGTACGTTTCCACCATTTCTTCAAATTTTGAAATTAGTTCCAATTTCTTATGCAGTTCATCATCTATCTATCTAGTGTTCGAACGTCAACAACCTATTTTTTTAGGCATTCCAACGTATCAACCATTACATTTTCAGCTACATATAATCAATTATGTTCACAGCGGTGGAGACCTAGTACGCTTTCACCATTTCTTCAAATTTTGAAATTGGTTCCAATTTGTTATGCAGTTAATTATCTATCTATCTGGTGTTCGAACGTCAACAACTAATTTTTTTAGGCATTCCAACGTATCAACCATTACATTTTCAGCTACATATAATTAATTATGTTCACAGCGGTGAAGACCTAGTACGCTTTCACCATTTCTTCAAATTTTGAAATTGGTTCCAATTTGTTATGCAGCTAATTATCTATCTATCTGGTCTTCGATCGTCATCAACTTATTTTTTAGCCATTCCAACGTATCACCATTATATTTCAGCTACATATAATTAATTATGTTCACAGCGGTGAAGACATAGTACGCTTTCACCATTTCTTCAAATTTTGAAATTGGTTCCAATTTGTTATGCAGTTAATTATCTATCTATCTGGTCTTCGAACGTCATCAACTCATTTTTTCAGGCATTTCAACGTATCACCATTACATTTTAGCTACATATAATTAATTATCTTCACAACGGTGAAGACATAGTACGCTTTCACCATTTCTTCAAATTTTGAAATTGGTTTCAATTTGTTATGCAGTTAATTAATTATCTATCTATCTGGTGTTCGAACGTCATCAACTTATTTTTTCAGGCATTTCAATGTATCAATCATCATTACATTTTCAGAAATATTCCAGTTTATCAGTGATTTCATTCTTAACGTCAGTGTTAAGAATGATCTCTGAATCTAGGAATGCAGAATTTTCAACATTCTTGAACTTGACATCAGTGTTTGTAGAACAGATATCTTATAACACAACCCTTGAAACTGGTTCGGTTCAGTTCGTGCAGTTGTTCTACTCACAGACGCTCGTATCCCACGTATATCAGAAATTGCTATTTTCTGAGACTTTTGAGTGCATTAGAGTCTTATTCACAAAAAAAACGAGAGGAAAATCTTGCTCTCGATTCTCACTGCCCTGTAACAAAAATTATTTGAAGTATCATATTGAATAAATTGGCTGGTTTTATTGTGCTCCCGCCATTTATTGAAATTGCGCTCCTGCCATTTATTCGAATCTCTAAATAAGATCGTTGATTGATATATTACGCTTACCCAGCGTAAGCGTAAGGTATGTCTTCACATTGTAATCACTCGCAGGCCAGGTTAGCCGCGTGGTTGAAGCGTCAGTATTCTTTTCACGGTGGTTTGCCAGTTGGTGGGTTCGATTCCCACGACTGTGAAATTTTTCTGATGGTCTAAGAAAGTGTTTGAGATCACACGTTAAAAGGTAAGGCCCCCGTCATTCCTTGCTCGCACAAGTCTCTTGAAGACTTCTGAGGGTTGCTCGTAAGGGGGTAACATGATGAGGGATAGGAACAATTTCAGGACAACAGCAATTATTTTTCTCTTTTTTCTTTCTCAATTTCAAATGATTTTCATTTTTCATGCTCTCCTTTTGTATGTTCAACAGATATAATTCAATGTTCGACGTGGCAAATAGCCAGGGGAGTAGTTGTTTTCTGTTGAAAATCAAGAATGTTATTATGTACATATATATATGTTTATTTGAAGCAGAATGCAAATTCTCAACCTCAGAAGATTTTGTTCTGTAATTCTTATCGTGAGTATTCAATAAATATAATTCAATTTTGGTGGATATGTAGTTTGATGTTTCGCCATTTACTATATATAATTCTAATTCTTCACTCATGCGCTGTCTTTCAGTTCTGATTGGTCTGTGACAGCGTTCATGTTTTTAACGATGTAACCATGGATAGCAACTCAAAGTCTGGATATGTCCATGGAATGCGAAGCAAAGTCTGTCAGTTTGGATTAAAATAATTATGGCTGTACTTGTCAGAATGAATCACTCATTTATAATGAATGCTTTTTATGCTTTGTGAACGTGAAATAGTCTAGCGAAATACTACTCTGTTCTGAATATCTTCTCATAATTCTGTCTTTCATTGTTATCTCAATTGTATTGCCGTACAGCAATATCACTCGTCCTGACGGACTCGTGGTGTTGCTCGGCATCACAATTTCGTGAACAATGAAGCGACAGAATCATCTCGAATATTCAGAACATCGTGAGATTACTTATGATGAGCACACGTTGTCTCTAGCTTGTGATTGGTCAGATTATGAGATGAGTGAAATAGTCACAAAAACAGTACCCCAACCAATCCCAACCTAGCCTTCTGAAGCGGTGCCGACAAGCAAAGCTACAGTGCCTCGCAGTGGGCTGATAGTTCCATACCCCCCTTCCCCCCTGAATCCGGCACTGTATATTATGTACTCACTTTTTTTTTGTTTCAGATAACGGACTCATCAAATGTGAAAAAGCCTGGTGTGAAAACAACAATCTCCATAACACGATCGGTAAATAAATTTATTCCAATAAATATACTTGATTCAATATTCAAAGTAAACTTGAAGTGGTCAAAACCATAAAGTAACATAATAATGATTATTATGAAACCTCGGAAATGCGAAAAAGAAGGTTTTCACAATAGAGTTGTGTAAACCTATTAATGATTTTCACCGATACTTTGGTTTTTCAATATTAAAATTAATATATTATAATCTATAATTATTAACGTTTTGAAATGTTTATTATTTTGGTAGTGAATATTATTCAAATCAGAAAACATATTATTTTGTCAGGACGTCGTGATCAGGCACAGTTACAATTTCAATTATTGTCGCCAATATACTGTGAAATGGTGACCAGATAATTTCGGCGCCATCTTTCATAAAATATTGCTTCAATTACAGACGAAGTGATCGAACTGAACAACTGAATCTGAATAGTGACTCAAACTGACTGTTTATTTTTTATAGATTCTCCTAATTTTATACGAGAATTTGGCCATACATTTGAGCAGAATCCATTAGACTTTCGTTTGGAATTCAGATGATGTGATCTTGGATAATGATTAAAGTGCAAAAAGATCGGATCTCGATGTTTCCATGCAGAATTATAATTTTTTAAACAATGGAAAATTGTCATGAATCATCTTGCAAATATCAATTCAGTTTGATGTCGGAAATTAATTTCTCAAACAAGATCTCGATGTTTGGAATGAATTTGAACTATCTAATTGTATTTTTTTATTAATATTGAACTCATTTTGTTCATGAATTCCCTCTGTACACTAGTTTCAAACGTTTGTTAAATCTCTTTACGCTTCTTTGTTGTGTTCTCCAAGTACCTACTGACAAGTATTTATAATGATAAAACTTTTTCTATATCCATCATTCTTAGGAAGATATTCGGATTTCGAACATGAATTTATTCACGTAATAATATTACTCAATCTGAAATTTTATCTGTGCCTCGTGAACACTTGATTAAGATATTTCGAGTTTATAATAATAATATATGTATACCTTCATGTTACTGCGCTAATTTGAAACGACCCTATAATTCCTGTGTGCATTCGTTCTATATTAAAATAATGATTTTTTTCTGTGACGGGAAAAAACTTTGGCATCTCATCCCTGTTGGCAGGTTATAAAATGTCACTTTTCATAAATTACTTTTTTCCCGTGGGAAAAAAGTGAGTACTTTTTTCCCGGATGAATATCACATATATACACTGTTGATGTCTTTTGTTGTGCTATAGTTCCGAAAAATGAGTCAATAATACCGTCTCCGAGAAAGAACTGCAAGTCCTTTCATCTTCAATTCGACTTCGCGGTTACGTATATTGCTAAATAACCACTGAATTCGAAATTTCTTGAAATCAAATCACAAAATTAGACTGACAGAAGTGACATCAGATATTTGATTACTTCAAATGAATGATAAAGATGCCTACAACGCGGTGTCCCTACTGTTAAAACCTTAAAATTTCACGTCGATAATTTTCAGATTCCAAAATAATGTAATATCTTCTTAATATTGATTCGTCCTTTCTTCTGTCACAGAAAAAAATAGTGTATTATACACGGGAAAAATATTAGATTTTAGCTCACGGTTTTTTGTCTCCCTCCGCTACGCGTCGGGAGACAACACAACCTGGAGCTAAAATCTACTACTTTTTTCCCTTGTATAATAAATAACTATGTTTTTGTGACGAGAAAGAAGTTTGAAATTTCATCTCTCTCGACAGGTTATAAGATGTCACTTTTCATAAATGAATTTTTTCTGTGACGGGAAAAAAGTTTGGCATTTCATCTCTGTTGGCAGGTTATAAAATGTCGCTTTTCATAAATAACTTTTTTCCTGTGGGAAAAAAGTGAGTTCTTCTTTCTCGGATATATATCACATATTGTATACAGGGTGATTCAAAAGTAAGCGGCATCCTTTCAGAGGCGTATTCCTTGCATGAAAATAAGGCAAAAAGTTCCTATTGATAAGGATCCGAAAATGCTTCCTAAGGGAGCTACGGCCCTTTGAATAGGACACCTCAAAGACGGTTTTTTCTCTATAACTTTAAAATCCTTCACAACAAATTTTTAAAAATTGGTGTACGGCATAAACATTCGATGGTAAATAGGACTCCGTATTCGAAATAATTTCCAAACGAAATCACAGTAACCTGAATATCCGCGGAGAAGAAGGGATATTTTTACACTTACCCTCTCCCGCATGTGACGCCCCTGAATGAAATTCTGAAATTTCGAATACGGAGTCCTATTTACCATCGAATGTTTATGCCGTACACCAATTTTTAAAAATTTGTTGTGAAGGATTTTAAAGTTATAGAGAAAAAACCGTCTTTGAGGTGTCCTATTCAAAGGGCCGTAGCTCCCTTAGGAAGCATTTTCGGATCCTTATCAATAGGAACTTTTTGCCTTATTTTCAAGCAAGGAATACGCCTCTGAAAGGATGCCGCTTACTTTTGAATCACCCTGTATACACTGTTGATGGCTTTTGTTGTGCTATAGTTCCGAAAAATGAGTCAATAATACCGTCTCCGAGAAAGAACTGCAACTTCTTTTATCTTCCAACTGACTTCGCGGTTACGTAGATTACTAAACAACCACTGAATTCGCAATCTCTTAAAATCAAATCACAGAATTAGACTGACTGATATTTGATTACTTCAGAAGAATGATAAAAATGCCTGCAAAAAGATGTAGGTGTCATTTTTGTGGATTTCATGTTGATGATTTTCTGATTTTAATATAATGTGATACCTGTCCAATATTGATTCGACGGTTTTTTCCGCTACGTGTCGGCAGACAACACAACCTGGAGCTAAAATTTACTACTTTTTCCTCTTGTATAATAAATGACTATCAGTTGTATCCCAGCGTTCATTACAAAATATGCAATCTCCCTTTTTCGCAAATCGGTTGAAAAATAATCAAGTAACACTGGGGGTAAGGAGAAACCTTAAGGTACCCGTCATTCAGGTGAAATCATCCCGTACAAGGTCCGTATTTTGCAGATGGCGGCGGTCTGGTGAAGTGCGAAAAATCGTTGGAGACGTGCGAGGGGTGCGGCGGGAAGATCCACGACCGGTATTTGATGCGCGTCGCCGACGCCAGTTGGCACGAGCATTGCCTCTGCTGCTCCATTTGCGGCGTCCTGCTCAGCCATTCCTGCTACACCAGGAACACCAAGCTCTACTGCAAGGCCGACTACGACAGGTGAGTCAGCATCTATACAGGGTGTCCGGAAATTATGCGCAAAAAATCAAGGGACTGATTCTGCATGACAAAACATGAATTTTATCTCATATATACTTGAGACCGAAAATGCATAGTTTTCAAGATACAGTGTGTTAAACTTTTTAGAAAAAATCGTTTTTTTATGAATATCTCGAATATTCTTTCACCAATTCTCTCGAAATTTGGTTATGATATTCTTTGTCATGAGGGGCTAATTTAGCCATCTTCAAATTAGAATTGTGAAATCCAGTGGCGTCCCGGGGGCACCCTAACGAATGTTTTTGTGAATAAAATGTGCGCCCCTGATTTTTTTAAATTCTCTATCTCCATATCCTAATGATTAACTTAAAATACAACATTTTGATCTCTTGAGTTGTTTTGCAATTTTGCTGCGTTTCCGCGGAAAAAAATAAATACCAATTCATTGTAAAAATTTGTGCAAAACATTGCTCCACAAACAAGGGTGAAATTAATTGTGTTATCCATGTCCATAGACGTAGAATAATAATTAAGATTAATTTTCTTCAAATATTTTATAACACATGTTTGACACACTTTGTATTATCGAAAACTACGCCTTCCTGGACCAAGAAAACATAGTTCTCAATATACAGAGTGTAGAGTGTGTCAAACATGTATCAAGGAATATTTGAAGAAAATGAATCTTCATACTCATTCTATATCTATGGACATTGATCACGCATTCATTTTCACCTCAGTTTTCGAAGGAATTTTTTGGCACAAATTTATGCCATAAATTGGTAATTATTTTTTTCCATGGAAATGAAGCAAATTATCGAAATAATTCAGGAGACCAAAATGTTGTATTTTTAGTTGGTCAATAGGTTATGAAGATACAGAATTCAAAAAAATCAGTGGCGTACATTTTATTGACAATAATATTCGGTAGGTTGCCCCCCGGGACGCCACTGGATTTTATAATTCCAATTGAAATATGGCTATATCAGCCCCTCATGACAAAAAATATCATTGCAAAATTTCAAGAAAATTGGTAGAAGGATATTTGAGATATTCATAAAAAACCGATCTTGTTTAAAAGTTTTAACACACTGTATGTTGAAAACTATGCATTTCCGGACCCACGTACATATGGAAATAATTTTTTATCTCATCATGCAGAATCATTCCCTCGATTTTTTGCGCATAATTTCCGGACACCCTGTATTTTTTGGGATTTTCTCTCCTCGTTTCTATAAAATAAAAATATGAATATATTTCAATATACGTGTAGTAAGGACAAATCAGATGCCACAAAATGTCACTGCGTTTAAAGAATTTTCCTATCAGAGAGCCTAAAAGAAAAATTCACCAGCTTGTCAGTGACAATTTGAATTGAAAAAAGTTCGGAAAAGAGAAATAAAGGTATATAGAAAAAATATAAAATTTTCACTTATCTTTGGACGTTTCGGGACCAAATATGCTCCCGTTTTCAACATGAGAAATGATTATTTTTATAGCAAAGTCGTATCTGTCTTGAAGCTTTTCAGTTTTCATTGACAATTGGTGACGTTGGCAATCAAATGAGTTACAGGATGTTTTCATTAATTAATCTTGAATTCACCATTTTCATGTTCAGATTTTAGTAGTGAATACCATGTTCTGTCTATATCAACTGAACAAGAAGAAATGCTATTGTCTCCGTTCAGAAGAATGTAAGCAGATTCCTTGATTTTTCTCTTCTGGTTGTTATCTTCTTTTCCAATGATTTTAATATTATTCCACTCTGCCATATGTTGTCCGTCTTCAGTAAGGATATGTTCAGCTAGTTTCGATTTATGGATGTGTCTTTTCTTTATATTGTACTTATGTTCCTTCGTCTCTTGGTTTCACCTGAATAAAACTTTCCACAAACACATGGTATACTGTAAATACAATTTTTTGACGATTGTTCTCCATTTTTCGGCTTTGTTTGAGTTAGAATTGATCTCATTGTATTTTCAGTTTTGAACACAGTTGTCACTTAAAATTTTTCACCAACACGTTTTATTTTTTCAGATATGCCGGGAATGTATGGTATTATATTTGTCGTTATTGATAGTTGATTTTGTTGTGGTTGACCCTGTTTGTTTTCAATTTGATGAATCGTTCTATCAACGAAGTTGGAATTCTTTTTTGAAGAATCAACGTTGTATGTATAGTCGTCGGATATGTGATTGTGTTCGAATACAAAAAATTCTGAAAAAATCTATACAAAGTGATACAAGAAATACTGAATGATGGAATGGACAATAACGTAGTCTTCAGTAAATGGAATATAATTTTCTCTGTGATACTAGTGAAATAATGGAGTGTTACTTCTTCATGAGGATGTCTGGTGTCTCACCTCGAAATGGTTTTTTAATTTTTTGGCTCGAAGGTCATATAATGAAGGTACGCATTTTTGACAATACCTTTGGAGAAAAAGAAACATTTTTTCCCGATTCACGAATAATTTATTTTGATTAGCTTCCTACTTAGACAGGTATTGCACCAATATTTTTATTTTGGATGGATTCATTTTATTTTGTATTGTGATCAATAGAAGGGTTATTACAGGTTGATTAACAAAAATTAGAATCATAAACTATGAAGCTTTGAACCTGCTCAAAAGTTTCGATTTTCATGAAATACATGAAAGTGTCAATATCCCCAAAATCATTATTTTTTTACCAAGGTCATATTGTGATATTCTGGTCATTCATGAGCTGGACTATCAGTCCCCCAAAGGATGACGTTAAGTTTTGGGGCACCCTCTACGTATGAATAAATTTGTTAATTCACGAAGAGAGAGAAACTCAAAGTCATTACCACACTATAGTTCATAAAATGAACGAAAAATGGTAAATAACGAGAGAAAAACAACTACTTTCCTGCCTATATGCCACGCAGAACATTGAATTACATACTCTCGATATCTATGCAACGATTCGTAAAGACAAATAAGGTCGCAAATGTTTCTTTCCTAAACGTTATTGTTTGTTCTAAAATTGTTATCTACCATTTTTCGTTAATTTTATGATCTAGTGTGGTAATGACTCAAGTTTTTCTCTCTTTGTGGCCATTGCATTCCACTTTGAGTATTTGGCTTATTCCTAGTTGAATTTATCGATTTTATCACAGACTGATCTTACTCAAACTCATGTCAACTAAACTTAATGTCTTTCAAGTTGATGACAAAATCAAAAGGTAATATCCTTAAAAATTAAAATGATATATCGAGCTTCTTTCACTTAAATCACACTCTTATACACAGTGGCGTAACTTCATATTTTGGGCCCCCTCGCCAAAATCATTTAGGGCCCCCTCGAGACAAACCTTTCCAGTCAGAAGTCCCTTCTTTTGGCCAAATGCGCCATCAAGGAAGCAAAGGCCAATAAAATCGGAAGAAGAAGTCCCTTCTTTCCATGAACTATTAGTTATATTGAATAACCAACAAACTTCACAATACGCTTTATTTTCTTTGGGTGGATAACACAACCATTCTCTTGGAATAATTTGCCCAGCATGACTTTTCTGTGAATAATGAAAATTAGAGAAACTCTTCTTTTGGAAAACTTATAGCTGGTTGAAACGGGCCATTACGAACAATAAACATTATTATCGTTTTGCTCATTTCTCGGCCACTGAAATTGCTTTTATCACAATAAGGAAATGATTCTTCAATTAATACATCCAGTGATGAATCATCTGACTTAGTTTCATCTCTAGGAGTTCTCGCTTTCAAGTCAGGTATAGGCTCCTCGTGGATTTCAGATATATAATACTTTTTATATTCACACCATCTGTACCTACATTTTCGAATGCAGTAGTAGCAGAAGTCTCGTCATTTGCTAAGTAAAAATTTGATATTTTTTCTATATACCTTCATTTCTCTTCTCCAAACTTTTTTCAATACAAATTGTCACTGGCAAGATAGTGAATTTTTCTTTTAGGCTCTCCGATAGGAAAATTCTTCAAAAGCAGTGACATTTTGGGGCAAATCATCTGATTTATATTATTCATATTTTCATTTTATAGACACGAGGAGATAAAATCCCAAAAAATCTGGTATAATTGTTTTTCTTCCATAATAATTGCAGAGTCAACATCCATTTCTGTTTCAATCATCATATTGCTACTACTTGATGGACATTCATCAAAATATTCAACTGTACACTCTTCATCTTCAAACTTTTGTTTCCTTCTTCGTTTTGAAGCACCACTAGTTTCCATCAAGTTTTCTATTTAAAATAATCGGCTTGTATCGTTGATTCCACACATCACCCTAGAAATCCACTGAAAAAAACATAATTAAAAAATATTCATGTATCACCCAATTTGGCTGAGTCCTTGCTCTGGTTGGTGGACCCAGGGCCCCCTCCGAGGAACGGCCCCCCCGCAACCGTGGGGTTTAGCGGCATAGTAGTTACGCCACTGCTTATACACCTTCACACTACCTTGACTTCCTTCCTCGTTGCGACCAAACATTGAATTTCAATGGTTTGGAACGCTTTTGAGCTGAACTCGAACCCCCATACTTACCCCTACTTCCATAAAACGAGCCCGAACAAAACGCTTCCAGGGATTTTTCCACAAAGACGTCATGAATGGCTTTATTGGATCTGCTCCAACGCTTCCCGAAACTCATATCGCCTCCTTATGAAAGCGAACACGAATATTTAAGAAAGCACCGTCGTTTCTAATAAAGAATGCGCTTCTACGCTTTCCTTTGAAAGGAAAAAAAGAGAAGTAGAAAGATCCAGGATGCTATAGTATGTCCGTAAATTGCAATTTTTAAGAGAGCTGTGACGAATAAATATTAATTTTCAGCGAAGCGTATATTCCAATGGGAGCACAGCAAACAATTTTGGTCGGCCTTATGCTGTCCCAGAATATGCAGGCCAGAATGGGCTTATATCACGAAAAAATTTTATTTCATAATTCGATAGAGCTCACCCAAACTAGCTCAACACCGCAAACCGTTTCTTGTTGTGAGCTCCCTACGTTTTATAAAAAATTATTGAAATCCCCGATTTTTCGGACCTCTGAAAACGAGGCGATGATGTGACGTCAAAACCCTAATACTGAAACAAGACTATTCCAGACAGAGATGAATGATACATAATTTCTGACAGTGAATTAGCGCGAGATCACAGTTGAAAGAATTAATATATCAGTTGCCTCAGTCTCCGTCGGGCGTTTGGTACATTCTTTTAACTATGGCGAGATGAGGTTTCTACGTCATTAGAGGGTCCGTTTTCAGAAGGTACCATTATTTATGTCCAAAAATAAAACATTTCAGTTAATTTTTCGATCGAATTATGTCATCAATCATTATTTATGTATAAAAGGATCATTATAAACATGGTTTGAGTTGAAAGTTCTACTAAGGTATACACGCCTATTGGCCAGCACGACAAAATTCCTGTAAACATTGATAAGCCAGTACCAATAATAGGAGACTCTGGCTGTCATCAGAGCCAGTACAAATGTACGTGTAGTCTGCCGATGGAAGTGTTATATGGGGAAGCACTTAAAAATTAGATTGATTTTCCAATTGAAACTGAAATATAATCATACACGACGGTGTACCGGTTAGATTATAGTTGAACGATTTCAATAGGTGTCAGAGGAAGAATTCATGATTGGTTTCAAAATTATTCGAAGAATAGAAAACAGTATGTTGATGTGGATAATAGTAGTTGTAGTTCCTTGATGAATACTACATGTGGTGTACCGCAAGGGTCAGTTTTGGGGCCAACATACGTCAACGATTTAATGTATTTACCCACCTTTTACAAGCAATATCGAGAATATATCCCTTCAGGGGTAGCTGAAACAGCCCTCAACATGATTTTTTTCAAGAGTAACCCTATGGCTTGTGACCCCTCATTGGAAAGCTGGTGTAAAGAGGAAACCTCGGAGGAAACCAGCGTAGGTACTAGTCAAATCTCAGTTTTTCATACGTTCAATGGTTGCATAAAATCGAAATCTAATTTCAAAATTCAATTCATTTTCAACGTTTCAATCGCTCAAAATGTGTTTTGAACAATTGATGGCAATTTTGTTGCCACAACTGCTATATGCTATTGTATTTCAGTGTTTTTATAGAGCCGCAAAAAGAAATTTGTTTTTTTTTACCGTATTCACAGTTCGAAACGAGGTATATTGTTGCAAACTGGTGGAAATGCCTTTATATCACTGTAACTGAAAGACGAATTTTTGATGAAAATACGTCGAAAATATATTAAACTTTGAGATTATATTTCGATTTTATGCGACCCCCAAACGTAATGCAAACCGAAATATGATCAGTACGCTAGATTCCTCTTTCAATGGGAGCCCAGATAGCACACACTCGCCTAAGGTCATCCTCAATGTGTCGCCAAACGCCTGGAGAGGACGTTCTATTTTCTACAACCTAAGAACATCATCAGGCGTAAATTTAGCGCTGTAATCGTCCTAAATGAGTTCTTTCAGTGACAGCCTGAGGATGTAAAGAATTTCGTGCCTACGGACGTCTTCAGATGACATTCCATGAAATAACGTGTCATCGAAGACAAAAGGAAGAAAAAGAAGAACTAGAATTGAGGTTATGTCTCATGATAGTCATGATTTGTTCAAGATACATCATAATATATTGATGATTATATCAAAATTATTAGAGTATTCATTGAATACCTTCATCAAATTTTTATTTTACAAAATGATTGCGAGAAGAACTTATTGCACAGAATTAAAAGATAACAATAACAAAAGGATAATAATCTATGTTGATGACATTTCTCTCAGGTAGCAAGAAACAATGGTGAGTAAATACTAAATAGAATCATTGATAGTACCGGACATGAAATATTGATACATTCATATACATTATTATTATTGTTTCAGGAGGTTATTGAGAACAGAAACTTGATGATATCATCATAGCAAACATGTTTTATTCCAAGATAGCTTTGCTTCTTTGGAATCTATAAAATATTGTATGGAAGCTTGAACTTTCAGTATGAATTCAATAAAGGTAGGTACCTGAATCAAATCATTGATATAGTAGGTACTGGACATGAAATGTTAATAGGTTAATTATTTGTTTTAGATGAAGTTATTGAGAACACAAGATTGATGATGTCATCAGAGCAGAGATGTTTCATTCCAAGATATTTTGGCTTCTTCGAAATCTATGTGAGATTGCCTATGCATGTTTGCAGTATATTCAATAAAGGTGTAACCTAAATCAAATCATTGATATAGTAGGGACTGGAACATGAAATATTAATAGGTACATTATTTGTTTCAGGAGGTTATTGATAACACAAAATGATGATATCATCAGAGCAGAGATATTTTATTCCAAGATATTTTGGCTTCTTTGGAAATTATGAAAGATTGTACATATGCAGACTTGCACTTTCAGTAGATTCAATCATGGTTGGTACCTCACTACATAAATCATATCATTGATAGTAAGTACTGGACATGAAATATTAATACATTGTTTGTTTCAGAAGGTTATGCAAAACACAAACCTGATGATATTTTCATTCCAAGATAGTTTTGCTTCTTCAGAATCTATAAAATATTGCATGAAGGCTTCAACTTCCAGTTGATTATTCTGCATCAGGAATGTCCAGAGTTCAGAAATCAAAAACAACATGAAGAAATATAACTATCAATAGGCAATAACTTCTAGTAGTGCTCAACAAGAAGCTGAAATACATTTCTTTGAAAAGGAAATTGAAATTTTTCAGAATAAGTTATAAATAATAGAATGTAAGTTTTTCATTTGGTTTTTCATTTGAACCTATTATAAATAGAGGGAAATATCATGAGATCCATTTTATTTTGAAGAAATTATCATTTGCATAATACAAGGTGAGTCAATAGTTTGTTATCCTTGTATATTAGCCAAACCATCAGATAAATAGAGAAAATTCAAGTACAACAGAGATAGGGTTTCATGAGAACTTTCACATTAAATTGTTTTCATATATATATCTGTAGGGTGTTCGAATTCCAAGATGTATTGACTGATGATTGTTTTTTCCAAATGGGACACCCTGTATACTATTGCATTTTCAGGTTCTTCCTGAAGAGCTGATTCCATCAATGCATCACACTTGGGGTCTAGCGGGAATGATTACAGAGATATAGGGTGTTCAAAAACAATATTTTTCAATTTTAGGATTTTTTTTGTGGAAACTATTCAATATTGGTCAAAACACCCTATATCTCTGTAATAATTCCCACTAGACACCAAGTGTGATGCATTGATGGAATTAACTCTTCAGGGAAAACTCAAAAATGCAATAATATACAAGGTGTTCCATTGAAAAAAACCAATCATCAACCGATATCTTGGAATTCAAACACCCTATAGATATGAAAACAACTTTAGGTGATTGTTCTTATGAAACCCTATTACTGTTGTACTTGAATTTTCATTTTATATATCTGACGGTTTGGCTAATATCGGAGGAGAACACACTATAGTGACTCATTCTGTATACGAATAATATTCTCCCATAAATCTTGAACCTCCTTGAAACATCATCAAAAACCGCCCCAAGTTGTTACCATGATGTCCTGAGGTTGTCTCAAAAGATTTTATAGGGATGTTCTGAGACGTTATTAGTATGTAGAGAATGGTAACAGGAGGACGTCTTGAGAATGTCCTCAGGCTCGCTCTCGACGTCCTGAGGACATGATTGTGAACGCCTCAGAAGGGCCTCAAAAGGAATTTGTGCTATCTGGGAGGGGGGGGGGGGTCTCAAGCCATAGGGTTGCATTTGAAAAAAACATGTTGGGGTTGATTACAGCTACCCCTGAAGGGTTATTTTCTCCATATTGCCCGCCAAATGTAGGTGAATACATTCAAACGTTGACGTGACTCGCGAATATTCAGAATAATCATTCACACCCCCAGTGGAGAATTCTTTCCAGTTGAAGTCTTCACCCTGTATAGTGATAGTGAAGAAAACCCAAAAACGAAAACACGTCCACAAGAACTCCCAATGTTTTTACAAGAGAATTGCTCAATAAACTCCATTCTTTTCGTTTCCAGGATATTCGGCGTGAAGTGCTCGCGATGCGGCGACCGCCTGATGCCGCACGAGATGGTGATGCGCGCGCAGCAGCACGTCTTCCACCTGCCGTGCTTCGTGTGCTGCGCGTGCTGCCAGCCGCTGCAGAAAGGCGAGCAGTTCGTGCTGCGTGCTGGTCAGCTCTTCTGTCGCGGCGACTTCGAAAAGGAGATGTACCTGATGCAGCAGAGCGGGTCAGGGGACGATGACTTGCTCGACGAGAACAGGTGAGCAGCATGGTGGACAGTCCTTTCATGAGCACGAATTCGTTTTGCCCAAGCATAGGTATAGGCGGGAACAGTCCTTTCTTGAGCACGAATTTGTTTTGACCAAACATACGACGGACGGACACAACTCGGGTTCAACTCTCGAAAAGAACGAATTATATTTTCAAATTTTATTCAAGTTATTTTTCGAGGAATACACTTCCTAGGAAAAAGATTCATTTAGGCTGAGTTAGGTTAGATTGTTTCAAAACAGCAGTCTCCTCATGCAGGAAGGAAATTTTTCCTCCTTATACTATCTGTATAGTATAGACCAAGTTCGGTTAGATGGTTTATTAGAAAAAGGAGTTTCTTATGCAGAGAGGATATTTTCCGTAATAACATATTATGTCTAGAAAAAATGTTTTCACATTAATATTCATCAAAGAACTCTCATTATTTTACTTATACTTCTTTTTAGTTCGGCATTCCATGAAAACGGTATTCTTTATTAGTTTTTCAAACTATTCTATTTATTCTCTACTTCTTTTTAGTTTGGCACTCTATACAGTGTGCACTTACCATGCTCACCATGGGTATCTTTTTAACGGTGAGAGATACGAGGTCGGTTAAATGACACCAAATGTGGAGTTTGTCAAGGCCAACTATAATGTGAAAAAATATTTCGATAAAATCTATTCGTTTTTGTTTTATACGCAAAAAACAGATTTTGATCATTTTCATGTATCCTCCGTAACTTCTTTATTTATGAAAATATTCAAATAGGAATTTCACATTCTCATGGCAGTTTTTCAAAGTGATTTCGCAAAAAATTTTAAATTTATACCAACTCTTCTAGAATTTGAGATATCAGCACCAACTTTAGTTTTTCAAATGTAGGTCATAGCTCACTATGACATATAAGTTACAAATAACTTTTTTTTCTCTTACAGATGATATATCGCAGTAATAGTTTTGTGTTGATAACAACGGAGTTATCGTCATTTATACAAAAACAAAAAATTATTTGGAAGTCGCCATCTTGAATTCATAAATTTCAACAAAAAAATCATGATCTCCGACTTCAAAAACCCCCCACTTACTAATTTTGAATGAAATCGGACCAAATCTTGTCCGCCATCTTGGAGCAGCCATTTTTTTCAATTTCAACAAAAACTCCATAATGTATTGTCACCGAAATTATGAACACCTTCCAAATTTCAAGGTAATCGGAGTTGAGAATGTGAAAATATCAATTTACTGATGAGTCAGGTTTAAAGATCTGTTCACCTTCTTTTGTGATTTTCGTACAAAAGACGTGATTCTTTTCATACTTGAAGATGATATATTGTTTTCTTCCTTCATTGTGCTCATAACCTGCAATTTGCCCATTTGGTCCAGGTTTTGTCTCAGAGCTTATAGGGGCTTGTTTAGTAGTCCAGTTACTTACCTTTGTCGTTCCACGCGACTATATGTAGTCGCGTGAGTATGATCATTCATTTTTGACCCATCTGGTGAAATTGTAGATGAATATCATTGTCCGAAGTTTGAAATGACATATTTTCTTCGTCAGCACATCATTGACAATATTTGCAAAAGCTGTAGACCAATAAGCTGTCTAGCTTTCTTTACTGATCCAAACTTTTTTTCAGCAGACCCAGAGACGGCAGACGTGGCCCTAAACGCCCTAGAACGATTCTCACTTCGGCCCAACGAAGACAATTCAAAGCCTCTTTCGAAGTCAGTCCGAAACCCTGTCGCAAAGTCAGAGAAGCCCTAGCGAAAGAGACCGGCCTCAGTGTTCGAGTGGTGCAGGTTTGGTTCCAAAATCAGCGAGCGAAAATGAAGAAGATCCAGAGAAAAGCCAAACAAGATGACGGGAAGTCCAACAGTGATAAAGAAAAAGGTGATAAGGATGATAAAATTATTAAGCAAGAATCGCCAAATAGCGAGCATGGACATTATATGGGTTTGGGGAATTTGGGAGACAACCATTTTCCGAATTCTAGTCAACCGCTTAATCCTAACGTTCCATATTCACCTGATGGTAAATACAATTTTTTCTTTTTCAACCCTATATTTTTTTTATTCACATTCTCAGTGCATTAGAACAAATTATAATGAAGAACCGCAAGAATTTTCTATTGAATAGAAAAGTTTTCTATAATCTAGTAGGTCATGAAAAACCATAGTGTATTTATAGGAGCAACCCATGAGCAAACCAAAACTGTCATTTAGGTTTAATATTATAAACAACAATTATTACGATTGAAAAAAAAAGTGGTAATAAACATAGAGCTTCATGGAGTTACCTGGATTAATTTGTTTGCAGTTCATTCTTTATGCAGTCATATATCATTGGAAAATGTTCTTTGCGAGTTCTTTGTGAATCCCATTATTGTATTTCCTTGTTGTATGAATTGTTTTTCATGGCCTACCAAAAGAAATATTATTATCTATTCTCAATAATTTTGGAAATATTTCGAGAATAGATATATGTATACAGGGTGCCCGGAAATTAGCCTGCCAAACTCCACCAGCGGCTTCTACAACCAAAAATAGGATGGAAAGTTCCAAAATGAATATGAGTAGAGAAATGATGAAGCTACGGCCCCCTGAAAGGGGCTCCAGAAGATGATATTTCTATATTTCTTGAATATTTCCGAAACGTTACGTAATTAAATGATGCCATTTGGTACAAGAACTTAACTTTCCATGTCCACAATGCGGTGAACATAAAATCATTCCAAAGATTCATTCAGGAGTGTATATTTTCTCTCCATTGGGTATGGAAAGTTTAGTTCTTCTACCAAATTGCATCTTTTCATCACAAGGAGTTCCGGAAATGCTCAAAAAATATCATCTTCAGGAGCCCCCTTTCAGGGGAACGTAGCTCCCTTAAGGGATATATCTCTCGTCTCATGTTCATTGAAATTTTTCTTCCCATTTCTGATCGTAGAAGCCGCTAGTGAAGTTTGGCAGGCTAATTTCGGGACACCCTGTATAACTTCTGAAATAATAACAGAAACTAGAACATTTGGAACTTTTAGTAGTAAATGATCTTCTATCTCTATAATGAACTGGCAAAGCAACTTAATCCGAATTCAACAAATGTTATAAATTCAGGAAGGAAAAAAATATAGCAAAATGAAATGATATGTTTCAGTCCCAACTTTGAATTCTTTCGAAAATCGTGTTTGATGCATTATCAATTATATCTACCCAATAGTAAAATTTTCAGGTGTACTTAGTCCCAAAAATGAAGTGCATGTCTATTGGCAAGGTGACGGTTATTAGAATACGTGACATCTGGTGAACATATTCGAATTCAGTTCAAGGTCAATGTCAGCGTACATTTTGAAGATATGTAGTCAGTCAAATATGGATCTTAACACTTATACGACCATGTCAGTCATTGAAAAGACTGACATGAAATAGTTCTGGAGGACCGAGGTCATTATTAGTGTCCAACCAGCACAGACCGCATTACAATCATATACGTATTAATAATCAATACGGATAATCTCTATCTGTTTCCATAGCGAAACATGAAGCCGATTTTTGAAGACAAATGACTATCCATAGGGAAAAGTTTTGAAACGATCAGACACATACTGCTTTGATTGAAAGGCTAGTAAACGTCATTGTCCACCGAAACGCATGTCTTTGATGACTACTATAATAGCGCATGGCGCATGCGTATCATGCCACCAAATCCTTATGGATATTCATTTGTTTCATATTTTTGGCTTCATCCTGGCACCCGTTATGATCCGTATTGTTTATTAATACGTATATGATTACAATAAGTAGCGCGATCTAGTAATCGGAGTTCAACGTTATACATAGATTCGTTTTAGTTGACGTCTGAATATCACAGATCCAGCACAATATAGTGTCAGTCAACCGCGACTGACAAAAATTTATTTTTGACTAAAATTGCCTGAAGTTGAACCCTCTGTCAGTCACCTTACCAATAGTTTCACTAGTATACATATTGTTTGAATTTTACTGCATGATCTTCTGTCTGTGAACTGGTTGGCTATATATCTTAAACCATCTTTTCCAGCATCTTTTTCTATTCCAGATAACTATCCAGCACATTCAGGTGAAAGCTTCTGTAGTTCCGATATATCTCTTGACGATAGTACAAACTTCGACCAACTGGACGAGGCCACATCTGACACCATGTCGCTGCAGAACCTCGAACTGCAGCCCCATGCACATCACACCGAAGGAGGAACAGCTTCCAGTTCGATAGCCAATCCGATAGATAAGCTCTACCTCATGCAGAATTCGTACTTCAGCACAGAACAATAAGAGGAGCGGGTGGATTTCTTTTCAATTCAGGAACAACCGGTTCCTTATATACAGTCTGTCCAAGATAAGGTTGAACAGCATGGGGATCTCGGAAACGGTAGGAGATACGAAGTCGCTTGAATGGGGAAAAAGTTGCGCATTCGGAGGCTCATATCCAGAGCCTTCGAAAATTTTGAAAATTATTTTTAGTTTTTGAGTTATATCGAAAAAAGTGAATTTTTGGAATTTCTATTTTATTTTTTTCTCCGTTATTATCAGAGATACAGAAAAACTGAAAATACTTTTTCATTGCAACTTTTGATGAGGTTTAACGTGGTGATACCGATTTTTTTATGCGACGTTTTGTATTCGTGGAACCATCATCAACTTTTGTTTTTTAAATACGGTCCTGATAATTTTTTCACAGATTCTGAAAGGTTTTTTTATTCTGAATTCAACAATGTACTATACAAGGTGATTCGAATGTGTTTCGACCTATTTCTATCCATCATCAATGTTTTTTCGAACTTTCAAAAGAAAAAAAGCCATCAGTTCCACTTATTTCTTATCATTTAGTGTCAAACTTGATGGATTAGTTATTCAATACTGAAAAGTGAATAAAAAATATTTCACTACATCATTCGATCAATGCAGCGTTTAAAATTGTTGATGAATTCTCAAACGAATTACTTTAACAACTTAACTTTGACAATACCTACAGAGACATTCATAACAAATGTTCAAAATGATAACCATTATTTTCTGAACAAAGATATCCTTTTCTCACAGTTGTTTCTAAGACATTGCTAAGCATTTCTGGGGTTATTCTATTGAATGCTTCGAAGACACTGTCCCTTAGTTCTTCTTCATCCTCAAAGTTATTTGCGTGTACAAAGTTCGATATATCCCCTAAGAAAAAATCCAGCTGTGTTAAATCAGGCGACCGCGCCGGCCAAGGGATAAAAACGCACGGACTTCTCTGGAATTATGTACCGGAGCGCCATATTGTTGAAACCAACAGAGTTCTGAACTTCCGCAATCGGTAAATCATCCAGAGCTTCCTCAAGATGATTCTCAAGCGAATTTCTATAACGTTCGGAAGTCTGTGTTTCATGGTAAATAGAAGGAACAATAATTCGTGTACCAAATATTGCAACCCACATATTAAAGCCGAAACGGTGTTGGTGTCTCGCTGTAATGTATAAATGTTCATTTTCTCGTGAACAATAATGTGTATTTTTTCTATCGAAGCTACCATGATTAGTGACCATGCTTTCATCAGTCCAGATGATTGTTCGAAAGAAATCTGCAAAATTTTAACATTTCCTGGTATACCACTCACAGGATGTCTTGCGCCTTTCGTCATCTCCTGGTTTTAGCGCTTGACATATTCTAAATTTGTATGGATGGAATTTTTGTTTCCGCAAAATGAAATGGGTTGTTGATTGAAACCAGTTGATGAGGTATTAGTGTGTTGACTAATTTTCCTTCAAAATAAGTGGAACTGATGGCATTTTTCCTTTGGAGTTTCGAAAAAACATTGATGATGGATGGAAATAGGTCGAAACACAAATGAACCACCTTGTATAATACATGGTTGAATTCAGAATAAAAAAACCTTTTAGAATCTGTGACAAAATTATCAGGACCGTATTTAAAAAACAAAAGTTGATGATGGTTCCACGAATACGAAACGTCGCATGAAAAAATCGGTATCACCACGTTGACCGTCATCAAAAGTTGCTATGAAAAAGTATTCTCAGTTTTGCTGTATCTCTAATATTAACGGAGAAAAAAAATAAAATAGAAATTCCAAAAATTCACTTTTTTCGATATAACTCAAAAACTAAAAATAATTTTCAAAATTTTCGAAGGCTCTTGATATGAGCCTCCGAATGCGCAACTTTTTCCCCATTTAATCGATTTCGTATCTCTTACCGTTTTCGAGATCCCCATGCTGTTCAACCTTATCTTGGACAGACTGTATATCTACCATAGTACTATATGGGTATCCTTGATTATTTACATTAACAAGATCCTAACCATCCTCATGAGAGCAATGCAGTCAGAATTTCTAGTCAGTAGGGGGCGGTATAAATTTTAGAGTGCCTCGAACATTTCATTACATGCCCGGGTTGAAGAGTGTGGGCTCTGACATTTTCGAATTATCATCATTCTCAGATTTAAAACATCACTTCTGAAAATTGATCAATAGGCGAAAATATTAGGAATCTGCAATGCAGAATATACACTATTCGCGATAGAAAATAAGCTTACGCCACCTATCGGAGTTCTTGAAAGCTATCAAAGCGGCCTGTTTACTTTGTTTTCATTGGTTCACATTTGTTTTTTGTTTGCGCTTATTGGTCATAGCATCGAAACAAACCGCTCAGAAGTGTTCCAGTTGTTGCCGTCAGATGGGGCGACGTGTTATTTTCTATCGCGAATACAGGCTGATTAACGGTGAATGGCACATATTAGACGTTTCCAGGGAACGCAACGTAGGATTGTTTTGAAAATTTGGTTCCTCGGATAATTAGTTGTGTTCTATCGACCTGAAATATTCTCAGCTGCGACGTTGCCACTTTTATTGAAAAGTAGCAACAACTTTGATTTTTTCAATGGAACACCCTATATATCATTCCGTTTTAAGATTCTCCCTGAAGGGCAGATTTCATCGATCTATCACACTTGGGGTCTAGCGGGAATGATAATAAAGATACAGGGTGTGAAAAATCGAGTTTTTCAACTTTTAAGAATTTTTTGTGTCGAATCTATGCATAATTGGTCGAAACGCTCGGACCCCAAAACAAAAAGACCGCGGATCCGAGCGCTCGGACCCCAATACACTTCCTTAGATTAGTGATGAAGAAGGATATTCCAAGTTTCTAGATTGTGTAGCAACTTACAGATAGAAGGATTGGGGCAGATTCTGAGAGCAAGAACAAATCGGCCACATTTTGCTGAGGCTAGTGCTGCTTAGGAATCAGCCAAGCACTAGGCCAAATTTGACTTCAACATTTTACATGGATGTGGATCATCTTGTTATTGTAAATAATTGAGGCTTTTACATGAAACACTTGAGACATAGTGAAAAGAAATAAAACAGGAAACAACTTTACACCACAATGGTACTCTGATATTTATTCTCTATTTTGTTTCCCAGAGTATCTGGCTCTGATGTCGGGATACCCTTTTGTACTACACTGTACCTTATTTTCCTAGAATGAAACCTAGAGATGTGAAAATCTAGTCAATTGTTTTGATTATTCTGTTTGACATATTTATAATTTTTTATATTTTCTGTTGTTTTATATTTTTTTAAATGTTATAATTTTGTCAGAGAAATGAAATCAGTAATATCAATTCAAAAACATTGATTGTACATATTTATGTAAATAAAACTGAAAGTTGTATATGTTTTAATGAAAATTATGAATTTATGTAATGAGAATTAAATGTCTGTAAATATAAGTTGAGAGACACCTAATCTTAGATTTCCCTGAGTCGAATTATTGATTGTGATGAAAATATTTATGCCAAATATAGGATTTAATATTGCCTAGATTTTATTATATATATTTTAAATAAAATATCAGTACTTATTGAGATATTCTTTCAGGACCAAAATAATACCCACTTCAAAATATAATGCATAATGAATAGGCACGATTTTCGTTAACATTATAGGGTTTCCCTGAGGGATCCCCTTATTTCATGCAATCCATGAGACAAAAAACAAAATTTCACATAAAAATTAATTAGGAGTATTTACTTTTGCCTCATTTATATTCGAATTTGTGATATTTAATTTTGCCTCATTTATATTCGAATTTGCGATATTTAATTTCTATCTGGGGGCTACAAATATTTCACGGCGCCTAAAACCACTGATGAAATGACAAAACAAACCAATTAAATGCATTTTTCATCTAAATTTTCTAGAAACAATTAGGGTAAATTTATACAAACTTAGACATTTTCTGAACCTGACCCTTTTATATAAACTTGAAATATGTTGTTTCATTCATTTTACCAGGAATAAATTAAAATATAAAATTTAGCTTTTAATGAAGTCAATATAGAGGCCATATATTGTTATGGGACTAGACAATTGAATTACTTGATAGGCAAATACATTCAAGTCAAACATTGGCAAACAATCTGTATTATAAGGAAATAATTTTATACAATTCATTACCAAATGAGTTAAAAACATATATGATACAAGAAAGGTTTGAAATCAATCTTGAAAAATACTTGCTCAGGACAATTTCAATGAAAGATATGTGAGGCATGATTTGATTACTCAGAAATGAAATGTTATAACTTTCATCTTAAGAAACAATATATTTTTTTTCCACTGAGTGAAATTAATTAATTAACCCTTCATTTTATATTTTTCATGTATTCATGTATCCCTATAATGGAGGCAAAGTATAAACAAACCTATCACTGTTTCACTTTTGATTCATAATGTAGAATAGCATAATATATGCTTCTATAAAAATGCAAGACATTTTAATTTTTATAATTTCTGGGACATTATATTGACATAGGTTATTAACCTTTTATTGTGAACATTCTCTCCAGAAGTCTCAAATTGAGAAAGGTGGATGGTCTTGAGTGTGTCATTGTACGTATATGTGGTAAAATATCATAACATTAGTCACATAAACCAGAATCTCTTTTATCTGTTGTTCCAGGATTCAGGAACATGCATGATCTTCAGATTAATTAAAATTGGATTCTGACTCCATTATGCTTGTCCTAGATGCCATAAAAATGTTTCAATGCATTTCATATTAAGTAACAAGAATGAAATGAATTATAGCAAATTTGAAAAGTCAAAACAATAATTAAATTCAATATCATCTCCTTATTGATTGAATCCATTATAATGAATCAATATTTATTATCCATACAAGTCTTTCCATTAGAACACTGCACATACATCAAAATTCATCAACTTAAGCTATGAATTGATCATTTGTTTCCAAAAATAAATACTAATGGTATCTTAGCATCAAGTATCACTTTGAACTTACATAAAATTGGTATCAAATCTTCAGAATGATGGAAAATATCTAAGGTATGCTTAGTAAAGGTCAACAATTTATCTTGTTGGTGCTGATGCTTCCTTCCTGGCTGCATCTTGTAATAATTGAGTGTCTACTTCATCAGCAGGCAGTTGAACATAGCGAACAACAGAACCTCTAATGAAACAATTTTTAACAGAGAGCTAAAACACAAAGATTGGGTTTAGCAAGAATATTAAGATCAAATTTGCCACTAACCATGTGTGGATATTTTTCTGTATCTGTTACACTGATATCTGTTAATTTTATGTTCAGATATTGATCCACTGAATGTAGGGTTCCACAAATACTGGAAATAAACAGATTTAAAAATGTATGGAAGGGGCGAATTCAGATAATGTCCTTACCTCAAATCATTCTTAAGTTCTACAACTACATCTTTTCCAACTAAGGACTTGAAGAAAGAATAGAAAAGCTGAAAAACATTGATTAATTTTTCAATAATAAAAATATTATGCAGCCTTACCATTTTCTACTTATTTGTTGTTAGTTGAAAACGTTCAAATTCAACCTTTAACTAGGTATAGTGTACTGATTATGGCTATTTTAGAATTTACAACTTTACAAGGAAAATAGGAATGTAGTTTTCGTAAAAAAATCGTCATAGAAAATTTTGAATTTTTAGGTTTTGTTTCTCTCTTCTTCTTTTTTTTTCCCCTTTCGTTTCAGGTTTCTTAATAGTTCTCATCTTCTTGTTTATTTAATGCGGCCGTTGCTCTGAGATCTAGCCTCAGTAAGGAGTCAATAACATTATAACACGTTACGGTGCACTGCGATTTAAATAACAAGACGAGGACCTCTGACATTATCATCTTTCATGATTTGAGGTTATTTTATATTTTGTTTATTTTTTGAATTCAGGAATCAGATTAGATTTTCAGTTTCAGGATTCTTTATGCTTACGCCTTTCAGCTTTCAGCCTTCTGGTACATTTCGGGAAAATATAATTATGTTATCAATTTATATGGAATGAAACGGAAACTATGAAATAATTGTAGAAGATGGCATCGGCCAAAGAGATTCAATCCGGTGGTAAAAAGCCTACTACTGAAATAATAACACCACATAAACTTGCACTCACTATATTAATAAGGAATTTTTGCCTTTATCGAGAAGATGGTGAGAAATTTATCAATCCATTGAGACTTAGTTTAGATGTCTCTTGTATATTCTTTCATTGAAAATCTCATTTCAAATCTATTTTTATTTGTAGAGGAATTCAAAAACATGGAAAATGGGGTTCTTCGTTGCAAATACAGAAGAGATTTCTGTGTACTCATCCTCCGTCTTTTACAAAGCCCTGAAATCCCATTGCTAGAACTCTATAATCTGCTGACTTCAAATAAATACCATATTCCACAATCTCTCTTTGAATCATTTGACACTACCCTAGTCAATTTGAACACACAAGGAGTTGGTAGTTTGTTGGATGTCACAGAGAGTTTACAAAAAATTATAAATAGGCCAGATGATCCTTTGAATACCATCATTGCAAAGTCAAGTATCATAGGTATATAGGCAATTGAATAATTCAAATTACAGCAATTCAGATACATGAAATATTCTTATAGGTTACTATTTAAGAAGATTTATTGTATATTTTGACAAATTAACATTTTCTGAGGTCACTGGTGTATATGAAGATTTCCAGAGATATTTCCAAGAGATGTGTAGAAGTTCAAAATTCATGAACAACCAAGAAGACAATCTGGAAACATGGTGTGCATTCATCCATAAAATAATACCTACTAAATTCTGAAAATGTTTCATTTTCTTATGTCTTTTAGGTGTAATGACCAGGAGCAATGGTCTAGAAGACAAGCTGAACTTTTCATAGCAACACAAGCAGCTCTTCTATCAAATAATGAAGGAAAAGCCTTACCACCTCCTGAATTACAGAAAAGAATAAGCAGTATTTTGAAATCCAACCCTGATTTATCAGGAGCAGTATGTATAAAAAATAAACAAATCATTCATCCTCAAATTTCTGAAATTAACTTAGGGTGGTTTTTCCCTAGAGATTTGAACATTCAAATTTTCAGATTGAATTGCTAGGGTTCTGAGTTGTTGAATCATTTCAGAAAATTGTTGCAAGACATTTGCATTACTTTTTAGAGGAAAAATAGTTGTGAGATAATAAATCAGTCTCAAAGTTAGATCATAGATCTAAATACTTAGATCTAAATACTTAGATCTATGGTTAGATGGATCTGAGTTTATTCAGCATAGTTATGAGTTTTTCATGATGATGGAATTTTGAAATATGTGTATTATTTTCCTCTCCTTTAGATTTTCCTGATTTCATCATTCAAAATGCTTGTTATTAGAGGAAATTATACTTTCCAGTATTCTACTGCAGGTGTAATCCAAATAAATTTCCTGGATTGCCTTATATTGGAGACACCTATTTTTTTATTGTTTCATAATGTACAATAATATGATTAACACAATGGTGAGAAATCATTTTATTAAAAAAATAAGCAAAATTCAATTCAATTCAGAAACAATAGCTTATTTTCTTTGTGAATGTCTTATATATCTCATCTTCTCAAAAACCAAATTTCATCTAGGTCCAATTTATTCCACCAATGTATCGCCAAATGTACAGGGTGATTGTTCATTTTTACTCAATAGTTATCTCAGTTAATATTATTGGTCAGAAATGTACAAATGGGCAAAAGTTGAGTATTTTTGATGGGCATTCAGAATCCAGTACTAGGGAATGCAAAAAAGCATCATTTACCTTAAAATGTTACATGAACTGGTATTTTTCATTTATATTTTCCCGAGTATTTTCCTAATTAGTATATACAGAGAAGTGCACAATAAACGGCCAGTGCTGTAACTTCTGAATCATTTGGGATCGGATTTTGAAAATTGGTGGGTAGCAAGTATACGAAATTGTTCAATAATTGACAAATCAATTTTTGTTCCATCACTTCCGGTTTCACCGGAAACGACTCCAACTTTCGATTTTCAAATAGGACACCCTGTATTTTATTCCATAATCGGTTAGGGATTGTCATAAAGAATTCAACGATGTCAGATTTGATAGGGTTATTTCAAACGATTACGAAGATATTCGCGTTCTAAGTTTCCATATGCTCAATGGGTGTGACTTCCAAATATCGAAACTTCTTTCTCTGTCCCACTTATTGAGCAAATGGAAACTTACAATGCGAATATCTTCGTTGTCGTTTGAAGTAACCCTATCAAACCCGGTATCGTTGAATTCGTCATAATAATCCCTAACCGATTATGGAATAAAATACAGGGTGTCCTATTCAAAAATCAAAAGTTTGGGTCGTTTCCGGTGAAACCGGAAGTGATAGAACAAAAATTGGTATGTCAATCAATGAGCAATTTAGTATACTTGCTACCCACTAATTTTCGAAATTCTATCTAGAATGATTCAGAAGATACAGGCCTGGCCGTTTTTGTGCACTTCTCTGTATATAGAACTCTTTCTTCTGATTTCAAAATATATATACTTTATTGAGGTTATCTAAAAATCAATTTATTCAGTACTTTATGAGAGCACTATATATTTGAAATCAGAAGAGAGAGCTCTACCGATTAGGGATATAAAATACAGGGTGGTCAATTAAAAAAATATCAGTTAATGTAAAATGTTTAGGTTTAGAATACTTTTCTACATTTTCTTGTATTATAGATTCTGAATGCCCATGAAAAATATACTGCACTTTTGTCCAATCGAATATTCGAAGAGAAACATATGTCTCTAAGACCAATATTAACTGAGATATATAAACGATCACCCTGTACCTCTATAGGGTACTTTTACCAAGGTTTTTATAAATCATGTATATTTCAAGCCTGATATAGAGGAAAAAACAATTTTCAAATTTGTGAATTGATCACCATATATCTACTACTCATATATGAATCCCTCAAAGCGGGACCAACTTCTGTCTCTATAGGTAACGAAATCGACCAATAGGCGTTGATGCCGACGTAGAGAAAAAATAATACGAAACTTGTCAAACCAATATGGCTGTTTCCATCCTTCACTTTCCGTCCTTATGAAGCTTGTTCGCGTTCCAAATATAAACAGTCCGAAATCATCAGGAGCATGCGCAATTTCACAGAACAGTACGAATTTCCATGTTCCGTGAAACTGCGCATGCTTTTGATGGATTCGGACCATTCATTTTTTGAACGAGAACAAACCTATAGATTCAAAAAGTACCTCTCATTTTGGTCCCATTTTTGTTGAGATATCGTATAGGCGATGCGCCATAATATAGAAATAATATAAAAATCTAGTGAGCTGTAGATACTCCAGCTCACTAGATTTTTTCTCCATATTTAGCAGACAATGGTTGATGATATAAGTATCCTGTATAAAAAGGTCTATATAGGTCTCATTTTTTATTCACCTACAGAGTACATACAGTATACCATCGAGTATACCTATGTATGATAGGTGATATGTATGTATATGATGTATATAGGGTGTTCCAATAAACAAAAACTCACCCTATACATTTGAAATATTTAAAAAAAAAGAGGCAAATTCAAATTAAAAATAGACTAGTTGTCTATGGAAATATTACAAAAACTATTACCCTATATCTCAAAACCAAAACGCACTATGGACCCACCTCGGGAACCACCCTATATACCTTTCTACTTCTATTATTTTTTCAGCATTTTCTTCTCTATTTAAATTACCTGCGAGTAGATGAATACTGTGGAGCCCTAGACAGTCTTTTACACTCATTTGACAGAAATATCGACCCAGATCTGAAGTGTTTCAATGATGAGAAAAGTAAAAGACACAGATTTGCTGCTCTCAACTTGGCAATATTGCACTATCACTTTGGACACATGTAAGACATGATATCTCAAAGATTCTCACCACTACTATCTAGATCGCTGTTATTTGTTCATTAAGAACAGTTTGAAGTTGAAGAAAGTAAATTCAGCGATGGTTATTGAAAGCAACAAATTTATCAAAGAGTGGTGTGCATACTGCATAAATCCATCTCAAATCTCTTCATAAGCAATTTAGTGCCAAACAAAGTTTTAATATAGCCAGTAATAAGCTTCATAAGTCGCCAAAATATATCGTTCATAATGCTTTACCTACAGCCACTATAGAAAGAAGGCAAGAACATATGAGATACAGGCTCAGTAAGTAGCTCTTTACGCATAGTAAGCACATCGCTCAGTTTTCGTTTATTCCGCCAGTCATGATCGCGTAATCGCCGTCAATAGCGGATGACATAACTGTCAAGAATTATAATTCAGACTGTTTGTCCAAACTTTTTTGATGTACTATATGGCAGTAGGTAGAGTATAGTACGTAATGCGTGTTGTAAAGCAATTATACTCACTCATGGAATTACGCACTCGCCGCTCTGCGGCTGCGTGCGTTACTTTTCCATTCGTGCGTAATATGTTTCTTACAACACATATACGTAATATACTATCAAATGCTATTAGGCGCAATAGTGATTCTCCTAACAACCGTCTAGCTAAACCAGCGAATCTTTCAAATTCCAAGGTAATCAGAAGGTTGGTTATTCGTGTTCATAAGACATAAGACTTATAAGGCAATATGAGAAAAAAAATATCTCTTCTGCATGAAAAAGGAATGTACTTTCAACCTAACGTGTCCTAAATTAACCTTTTTCCTGCGAAGTATATTCTTTTAAATTGATTGAGTAAAAAAAAATTGACGCCTCGCAGGGATTGAACCTCAGTCACCACCGTGGAAGTAAGATACACAGGCCATTAAGCTATCGCTTTAAACGTAGTAGTGGTAGTTTCTCAATATAAAGAAGGAAGGAAAATACAATAGAAATGTGAAAATATCATGTGTTGTGGACGACTTCACCCCGATGTTTGAAAGATTCGCAGATCTAGCTGGACGCTTGTGTTCTCATAATATACAGAGGGTATGTCACGACGGTCGCTTTACACAATCTTTATATAGAGAATCAGTTGCAAGAAATTTATTGAAATAGGCATGCTTCTATCGAAAAGTAGCAGCAACTTTGTTATTTCCGAATTGATTTCATCGATATATCACACTGGGGGTCTAGCGGGAATGATTACAGAGATTTATAGGGCGTTTAAAATCGAGATTTCTCAACTTTACGATTTTTTTGTGTCGAAACTATTGAGCCTGGCAAACATGCACTAGAGTCTAGGGGAGCACCTTCTGAGGAGGCGAACCCGAACGTAAGAATGTCCTTGACTAACAGAATTATCCTCTGAAAGCACGCCCATTTATTTTTTGTTTTGAACATATTAACAACAATATAGAGCATACAATGTTGAATGTAAAATCAAAATATTTTATCTGGGCAGCAACTTGGTGATGAAAATGCTTTTTGGTCTGCAAAAATTATAATAGATTGTTCCTTATTTAGACTCCTGCTAATGTAGGCGGTGTAGATATTTGGATCGACAAGCGTAGTCAGCACATGCTTTCGTCGGAGCTCTGGAATGCATTGCCTGTGGAAGAATTTCCAAGAACTAGTATAATCTCCAAAAGTTGCAAAAATGGCTTTCCCCATCCTCCCTAGGTACGCACGATGTTCTTCGAACATTATAGATTCCCTGTCGTGTGCACCAAACGATGAAAAAAAATGGAACAGGTACTGGGTGATTCGAAATTCAGAATTCTGATCACTCTCTATCTGTTTCAATCAAATGTTTCGAATGAAGTTGAAAAATTTCGATTTTGAACTCCCTATATCTTTGTAATTATAGGCTTCCTAGACCCCAAGTGTCATAAATCGATGAAATCAGCTCTACATGGAGAATCTAAAAGTGCAATGAAATACAGGGTATTCCATTTGAAATAACAATAAGTTGTTGCTATTTTTTTTGTCCACGACTGATGTACTTCCTCAAGCAAAACGATAGCCATTTTTCATGAATGACCATTATTCACTGGTCTAAAGTTCTTTATATCATATATCGAGTACCCTAGGAACTCTAGACCGGTGAGTTATGGTTATCCACTGCTATTATCCACTGGGGTGAAAAATGGCTACCGTTTTGCTTAAGGGAGTACATGTAGTATTATGAATATTTTATAAAACAGTCGTGGATAAAGTCTGATTTTACTACCAAGGTAGTTTTAGTCATTTTAGGAACCATTAGTCAATATGAAGGCATAGCCATACCTCTGTTGTTATTATTCCGAATTCACTGATGTTCCTATATATATTGGCTACTCGATTTTAATTAGAATTGAAAAGAAGTACTTTCATAGTGACAATAGGTTCATATTTCAGTTTCACAGAACTAAAATGATTGAAATGTATTGCTAGTGGTGAACAAAATTTAATATACACCTTGGTAGTAAAGAATATTATTACCACGGGACCTTATACCCCTCGGCTGAAGCTTCGGGATATAATCTTGGTCCCTGGGTAAAAATTATATTCTTCACTACCTTGGTGTATAAATAACTATTTCCTTGCAGTGAAGAGGCATTGGCGGCATTGAAAGAGTCGGTAAAAATTTCCCAGGAGGCGAACGATAATGTTTGTCTTCAACATGCTCTGTCTTGGTTATATCGTCTTACGACTGTGAATGAAGACAAGCTAATCATACACTGTATACTGAAAAGTTCCGAGTTGAGTCTCAGCTATACTGCCTCTTTGGGTTTGCAAACGTTTGGGCAGTTGGGATGTTTACATACCGGAAAAACGTATGCCATCTTTGAGGTGAGATTGATTTTCAGATAATAAAAATGAATGTTATGTATGTTCGATATTATTTTTAAATTTTTTTGTCAAATTTGTATATCGCTACTTCAAAGTTGGGAACCAACTCCCTAGAAGTCGAACTTGTGCGAGGTTAGGAAGAGCGGGACCTACAGCTTATCAAATAGTATTGAAATCTATTCTCTACAGTGTTTAATCCTTTCTTACCATTATCAGAAATTAAATAGATCCATCATCTGTATGTATTATAAGGGTAAAAGTGTTTAACGTATAATTATTTCTGATGTCAGATGACAGTTGGCTGGGATCTATCATAAAAATGCATAAGGATCCTGGAGATAGATTGTAATTGTTATAACAAAATATGATTAGATTATATTTTATACAATGGAGTTCGTCTCCAGCCAGCGTCGAATAGACAACAGCGCGATTGTAACATATGTATAACGGTCAATTACGGGATGGATGACAAACAAACTCAATAAATATGCATACAACAAGCCGTGGCGGCACGAATGATGTCATTTTACCATTTTGCCGATTTCGGTTCGCCGCTGCCGACACATATCAGCTGTGGACAACTATGAACCTCTGCTATTTACCGCCTATTCATGTTTGCTTGGTTGTGTCCATTTCGCGGTCGAACACCTCGTGGGTATTAAATGCTGAGAGGTGTTAACGTTGGGTCAGATTCGCACCAGATGGTGGTCATGAATGCCATCTGGGGACACCCCTGAACTGATGAGAGCCAAAGCTCGAAACCGGTCTGTGAGTAGTCAAACGTTCCTGAACAATTCAAGCACAACTGTGTTCGTCTATACCAGTACGAATCGTTGCATAGATTTCGGGATTCTGCGTGCAATATAGCCAGGGAAGTAGTTATTTTTCTCTCGTTATCTACCATTTTCGTTCATTTTATGAACTAGTGTGGTAACGACTTTAGTTGCTCTCTCTCTTTGTGAATAAAAATATATAAGTATCACATATCATATTAGTAGTCCTGAAGCTTATGAGGTCACGTGACAATCAATGGTTTTCGCTATTCAAAACTAAATTAATGTTCATACTACTTGCTCGGAAGTGAAATATATCGCATCCACTTCATGCGCTTGTTATGAAACTAACTATCTGTCGTATTTTACTTTCACTGATTTTTTAATTTTGTTTCTATATAGACGCTAGCAAAAAGTGACATGATCAACTGTCAGCACAACTACAAAGACCTAATTTCCAACAACTATTCAATGAAGTCGTCACTGTGGCAGCTCTACGGCAAGACAGAAATGTCCTCTTTGTGGAGCCAGCTGCTGCTCTACCAAAACATGGACTCCGTTTCTCCTAGCAAAGCCTTCTATGGAGAAGGGTTCTGTCTGGCGGTGTGCAACATTGCCAACCACTTGCTCATGCAGGGCGAATACTCATTGGTCAACTGTGTTCTGAGTTTTGCCAAGCAGAGGTAGATGTCTATAGCTATGTATTGAAATGAAAAATGAAAATCGATATTATTTTTTTTACACTGTTCTAGATATTTGTGAAAGACATCTCAGTATGAAACATAATATCCCATTTACAGGTTCTTCTCAATGTTGACAGACTTATTGATTATTTGTAGAGGGACGTTGCCTTGATGAGAAAACGCGGTGAGGAGAATAAGTGGTAAATCCTGCAAAAAATTCCATCCAAAACTTCATCATATTCTAAAAATGCCCTCAAATAGGACGAAATATAACATTTTGTACAATCATTGGTTTCTTAGGTAGATTCACTTATCCAGCTGATTGGGCGAGTCGTCTGATAATGAATTATTAGCATTCAATTACTCCACTGTGTCTTTAGGAACCTGAACTAATTTTTGCAATACTTCTCACACTTTTTTATATAAATTATGAGTCTATGCGTTATTCGAAATTGTTGAATTTCAGAGATCATTTCAAACGTACCGTCATGGCCGCCATTTGGCGATACGTCAAATAAATAATGGTGACGTCCGTTTTTATGCTGTATCGATATTGGTCAGATAATCTATTATTCTCACTCATGCAGCAAGGTTGTTAGGTCACTAATTATAATCAAGTTATCAAAAAGATGTTAAACGTCCTGTCGTTTAATATAACATAATAGGAACCCATGAGATTATTGTTCATTCTTGATATTTTCGAGCAACCAGCATTTCCAAATATTCTTTGTACTCCATAACAAAATATCATGTAAATGTTGCAGACCTGGAAACATTGTTCTGAATGCTGAGAACTAACAAGACCACGCCCACAATTCGTGCGCTGTTTACCGGAATTAATATAATTATCATTTACACAAATTTATTATAAGCAATAAGCCACAAATCGTGAGGGAACATATTGGGACAATTGCTAATTAGGAATATTACCAATACATAATTGATAGTATATGAATCACGAAATAAGTAATATTTCTGAAGTTCCCACTCGTATTTCAACACATGGCAACTGTGCTATGGTCTGCCCCTACTTACGAAATCGTGGCGACAATTTTTACTTGCGGTATATTTCTAACGTTTGAAAATTACCGTGGCATTATTGAAGATTTAAGCACCTAAAAATTGACCAGAAAAGTCTAAAACAATATTGAATCGAAACGTATTTGGGTGATGATTCTATTTAATTAATAAAAAAAAAATAGTCCAGTCGCCTAAACACATACTTCTGTGAACCCAAACCGAAATTTTGAATGCGATTACATCACGATCTGATCGGGTAGCCTTCCTCTACAAATTGTAATCACTTCACCAACGACCCTGGTTATTCCAAGTTGAAAAAAGGATCTTTGTAATACTTCTTTTTTTAGGTACACTTGGTATACGTCAAATTATGTTGAAATAATTTGCCATTTGAATTTCCAAAGGGCTTGTGTGTGTTTTATAATTTTCGGGAAATTTCAAAAGTAAAGTCCCAAGACATGACAAATATTTTACTATTACTTTGACTATTTGATGGGAAAATCTACTTTACACCTGAACAGCTTCTTGTGATCTACAAAGCACAGATACGACCAGTTTCACAATACCTGTTATCATGTATGGGGTTCAGCATTCAAACCTACGCTGATGCTTTCAGATTTCATTCAGAGAAGAAACATTCGCCTGGTGGGTGATGCCACACTCACTAACTCTTTGTTATGATTAGAACACCGTAGAAAAATCGGCAACCTTCCGCTTATCTATAGATACTTCCGGAAATGTTCCTGAGAAATCTCTCTGCTATATAATTCCATGAGTAGCAATACCAGTCAGACGATCTCGACATGCCCAGTCAGCACATCCCTTCGTCGTTAACCTTCAAATATGTTGAATAATACTCTATCAGAACTCGTTCGTCGATTGAACGGCGAAGCTTTGTAATTCCTTGCCAATGGAAGCATTCCCAAGGACTTATAACTTCCAAATATTCAAAAAAAATCTCAACATATACCTCCTCCCTCCCAGTCAAAGCTCTGGAATTTATTGCCCAAGGAAGTATTCCCAAGAATTCATAATCATCAGAAGTTCAAAAAAAATTTAAATACCTTCCTCCTCTCCCTATCCCCCCTAGGTTCCATGAACATTATTGGAATTTCCTTTCGTGCGCTCCAAGAGATGAAAACATTATTATCCGAAAAACACCAGAGAGCTTTAGCTGTCAAATTTTGACACTTTTACAATCAAATAGAATATTCGTTGATGTTTCTTTGTTCACCTGAATATCCGCTCATATAACATAATTTAATAAATACTAGATGATACAGAAAGTCATCTCCACGACATTTAATGTGATTAACCATCATTCACTTAAGTACTTTAATTTTAGGACAATCAAATTTAGTAATTAATACTTGACTCCCCTTTGAGAAAACCATGGACTTCTACCAAAGATTATAATGTAATAAGGTAATGAAACTTAAAGCTCACTGTATTGAGAAATACCACAGCACTACACCACGTATTCGCAAAGACTGATCAACCGACACCGTTCACCTCCTTCCCCCGATGATTGTACCCTTGCATAATCGTATGACTCGACGTGAGTCAATGTGGATATCATTCTCATATACAGGGCGCAGACTTCTTGTAGATGTGGTGCAATACATATCATGTGACTTCATTCATGAATTTACATTGGTGCAGCCATGTGTGAATGAAATAGTCCCTAAAATTAGGTAACCAATACCTAGAGTGCCTCGAACATCTCATTTTAAGCTCTAATACGAGTGTGGACACACTTTGTCATGTTTTAAACAGTTGAACAAAAAACATGAGACACAAGTATGTTTTATAAGAGATTGAATGTCATTTTTTTGTACCCCTCAACCCTTAATTGAACAAGTGCAGACATATATTAGCACTGCTCGGTATAGGGTTGACAAAACAGTATCAGTAGCTGTAGCTCTGTGCTTCTAATGGTACAGGGCGTCCGGTATCTAGCTAGTTGCTAACATCCGGCCATCCTGTATTGTGTCTTGTCCTCAAGGCATATTGTTAATCTGAAATCGGAACATAATTTTTTTTGGGAAATATCCTGAATAAATACCTCTTAATGTTGCTTCCGTCTGTATATCCTGATTGTATCAATCAGCGGACCTGCCTAAAGTTGCTTTCGTCCGTATACCCTGATTGTATAAATCAGCGGACCTGCCTTAAGATGCTTTCTTTTATGACCTCTCGTAAACGATTTCCTTCAGCTCATTCTTGATGGAACTATGTCTGCTAGGGCTCATTATACGGTTCCTACGGCTCCGTGTTCTACTTCCTGCAAGACGGGACCGTGTACGAACGTCTACGGTTTGTTGTGGATTTTGTACTGCTACTTCTATAATCAATTTCAGTACTCGGCAATGAGTCTGTAGAAGACCACAGGGAACTCGCTGTAGAATCTGATTTTCAAGAATTTCTTGAGAGTCTTCGTTTTGGCATGACGAATGGAACGAGGGAAAAAAATTCGATCCCACTTCTGAGATATTAGCACTGCTCGGTATAGGGTTACCAGAACAGTATCAGTCCCTCTTAAACCTTCCACCTTTATTCACACTTAACACAATGTATTCTCTACAACGCTTCAAATAAGAATGAATCAACCTAATGCCTCCTGATCGGATACAGTCATTTGTAGATAGGTGACTAAACCTTATATGTAACCACTAACTGTAGCTCTGTGCTTCTAATGGTACAGGGGCGACCTACATCTAGCTAGTTGCAGTTGCTAACGCATATTATTATTTGAAACCCTAACATTGGCGTAACACCAAAGGCATATAATGCTCATTTTGTGTATATATGTTCTAGTCATATGTTATATACTATTTTGCCCGAAATAATCGACGATTGTTACGACAGTTTGTTGCCTAATAACTTCGCAAATTACAATGTTTATCAAAACTGCGAAATTAAAGTTGCAAGCTGGAGTATGTCAATCGACGGATATTTCCAGGAAAAATAGTATCACGTGTGCGTTGTATTCGTATGAATATTTCATGATTGAGACATTAAACGAGCGCCTCGCGAGAGTAGCGCACAATGCATCCATCATTCTGGCTTCCAATATGATTGACGTTTCAAATGTCAAAAACACTGATTCTGTCAGGTTTCCCCACGAGCCCCAATCACATCTCTGGATGCTCTCGGAGAATTTGTACCACTTCACGAGGGCGATGTACAACGAAAAGTGGGCCGAAGCCCAATCTGCAGCCCAGAAGATAATGGTGGTGGACAAATGGGAGGGGTATTTGAGGCTGGCCGAGGTCTATTTCTACAAGCAGGACTACGTGGAGGCGGACAACTGCGTGGAGACCTTGCTGGACCAGTACGAAAATGATAACACAGACAAGTTTAGTGATAGGTGAGCACGACGGGAAGGGTGAATTGGCCAGGGAAATCGTGTCTTATGAAAAAATCGGTGAACTGAAACAAACGTTAACTCCGTCCGATAATTTTTCAAATTTTTTGATAAGGCGATCATTTTCCATATAAGTATCTGATAACGTCATTTTCCAGTTGATGGAAGGCAGATTTCATTTTTTAATTTATTGCATCGACGGTGCTTTCAAATACGATTTCCGTCGACCTGGTATTAACGAGAAAGTTTAATGTTTATAAAATTGATCGTTAATTACCCCTATTTTTTCCTTTATTCAACAACCTTATTCACATTTGATTCAACAGTATTTGACATTCAAAGTCTGTCTTAAATTCTAGCTAAATTTGGTTTATTCCTAAGTAGAACCACTAATGAAAAAGTTATTCATAAGATCATGAGCCTTAACATTATATTCCTTCACTTGCATTGAATGATGCAATGTTTCCTTATATTCAGAGTACATACAATTCTGGGGGTTTTCTAATACATACATTATACTGAATCCTATAACAAAAATCACTGCAGCATTGGCTGTCATCAATAATTTTGAAATTCAATTTCAAAATGTTTTTTAATATCATACACTTCTCAGATATCCATGATGTAAATTTTAATAAAAACACCGAAATATATCTCACCTGTTCATTGCATAGAAACCTGTGTTTCAGTGTATCAACCGTAAGTCTGCACTGTTTACATTTATCACTCAGTGCTTTCTAGCATAGGCAACCAAACATTAACCGCGTCCATTCACTGTTTATGCTACAACTTACGTAATCTGCATTTAAATCTAAAATATGGATTCCATCGAAGATTTTCCGTTAACGGTTTAGCCTTTCCAAGTTTCTGAAACTATTTGAATCGCTGTTTTCTAACACAAGTTGATTGTTTCGACAAATGTCGAATGTCACTAATGTCAGTGACTACTACTGGGTTATTGTTAGTAGTTTCCGGATGAATGATGAATTCGCGAACCAAGTTTCGTTCTCGAATTTTCATAACACCAACGTTCAGTTTTCAAACCAAGTTGTCTTTTTACCGTAGTTGTGTATTGATCTCATTCGAGAAATGTATTTATTGATAAATGCATTTAAAATTGTATTCAAATTTTATTGTCATCTGGCAAAAATTCTCCAATCAAAGGAAGTAAAAAAATCGCTCTCGCTCTTGCCATAACAATAAAACTTTCATACATCAAACAAGTATTTATCGAAAAAAACATTATCTCTTATGTATTTGCCCCTGAAAAATAGTCTATACAAAATTATCAATCATATTTATTTACATATCTTGTCTGTATGAATAAAATTATTTGTATTATGCCAATGTATTTGTAGGATGGACAAATCAAATGATTTGTCTCAAGATATAGCTGCCCTCAAGATTTTCTTATTAGATATTTAGGAGGAAAATTCAATCGCTGGTCGGAACATTTTGTTAGAGAAATGTTTGCAGAAGAATATGGTATTGAAAACATGAGATGTTACACATCTTTGAACGTTTCAGGAACGAATCTGCATAAAAAAATAATGCTGTATAATGATGTCTGAACAGGAAGCAGAGTTATTAACTCCATTCTGAAAAATGCAAGTGGCATCTTTGATTTTCAAGAATTTTTATATAATACAGTGTGATCCAGTTGAATATCAGAAGTAGATATTACGTCGGCTGAATCAAAATATTATGATAAATTTGATATAATTCAAAATTTCAAATTGGCGCAGGGTATAACTCTAAGCTCTAAGGTAGGATCAAGAGATCGCGACACACACTGTATGGCGCTGCCATATATAGTCACACGTACAGACCCTTACGTCTATACGCTACAGAATGGTACTACAAGTAAACCACTCTGCTGACAGATGGCACTACCTGACATACTTGAGTGGATTTTTCCACCGACCTATTCAACTGCTCGATCTCATCACTAAGAGATCCAGGATAAACAGAGTTGCCCCAATTGTCAGCAGGAGCGTATAGACGTAAGGGTCTGTACGTGTGACTATAGATGGCAGCACCATACAGTGTGTGTCGCGATCTCTTGATTTTGATCTTTGCCACTAGATGGCTACAACATGACTAGAACTTCATTTTATACCCTGTGTCTTCGAAATGGGTGATATACCCGAAGCGTAAAGTTGTTCCAGTTGTCAGCAGGCCGAGAGCGGCTGATGAGACCTGGTGGGTCGAAACAGTACTGTCTCACTTCTGCTGACAATTGGGGCAACTCTGTTCATCTTAGTTATGAGATCTATTAGTTTTTTCAAATTGGCATCTTTAGTTCGCCAGTGCCTTTGAAGGTTCGATTACTTTTGGCACACTGACGACATGAATTCCATTAGCCTAGGGCAGGATCTATCATCACAGTATCTATCAGTATATTAATGCTATTATTTCAGTAGATAATTGTTTGGCATCGGTTTCTTCACAGGTATTACTATGTGAGAGCAAAAATCCTCAAAGCAGAAATCCAGTTCGCCAGCACTTTTCCAGACTCCATCCCCTCCGGCACAGTGACGATCCTCAACAACTGCCTGATCGAGTCCCAAACCTGCCAGCTGGACTACCAATCGGTCCTCATCCAGCTGCACATAGCCAATTGCATGCTATCGATGGGACTGACAGGTAGGGTTGGTACGATTGAAATTCCCAAATCATTGTTTTTTCACATGTCGAAATGTGACGTTTTCGTTGTTTCAACGAATAGCAATGCGTAATTCAGAATGCAAATTCTCAACTCCAGAAAATTTTGTTTGCAAATTCTTATCATGTGTGTTCAATAGATATGATTCAATGTTCGTCGTGGCCTATAGCCAGGAAGTTAGTTGTTTTCTGTGATTTCCAGCACGGGCAAGGAACTTTTTTCAATATTTTATTTACGAATTAAATATTGTAAAGTTTCGGAGCATTGGCTGGGGATAGTCCTGCACGATTCGCTGTTGCGTTCCAATTAACAGTGCTGCTCCTAAAGTGGCGCATGGAGTAAGTAACAAAGCCTACACAGAACACGCAGAAAGAGATGATGATGTGGTTGTGAGCATCAGAGAAGAAGTAGGACGGTGTATGTAGGTGGGTGTGGAAAACTACCAGCTGAGCGTGAGAGCGGGCCAGCTGCTTAAGTAGACCTCGGTCTCGGGGGTTAACGATGATAGTTAGCAGGCCTGCCACTGCGCATATGGTAGTGAGTACATTACTAGCCTACAAAACACAGCTGAAAAACTCTGAAAAGAGAGCTGATGGGCGGTGCCTGAAAAGGATGTTAGCCAGCTCTCTTGATGCGAACCACATCAGTCATTGAAAACACTTGGGGTTTGCAAAAAGGTCCCATTGGGGACTAGTTGCTGACGTGGAAACGTCCCCCACCAGTACCAGTACCAGTAGTTGTTTTCTGTTGAATAAACCAAGAAAGAATTAATATTTTCATCACATGGAGAATGCGAATTCTCAATGTATATGTATATCTTTATATATAAAATAATCTGAAGGTAGAAAAAATATCACAATATTTCTTCGTGTTGGGGATGCAGTCAAAATTTTGGCCTTGAATGAGAACTCTTCGTTACATAGCCGAGTTTTCGGAAATGTTTATTTCCTTTATCAAGACATCTATAAAAAATGGTATGAATAAAACACTTGTAGAAAAAACAGGTGACAAAATACTTACTAACATGAGATTGGTAAGAGAAGTTAGATCAATACATAACAGGTACATCATTAGATTCATTTTTTGCTATGCTGGTGAGGCATTCATTATTTTCACAAAGCAGTATCACTGTCTATTTTGGCAAAAACACCGGTAACTCTGATTTTACAACAACAACTGGAGATCAAAATGGAAGGTTGACGGTTTGAGTTTGTTTTTTCAAAGCTTCTAGTCGCATGATATACGAAAATATCCGATTCGGATCTACGGTCATTGTCGTATCCAGAAGACAAAGTGGCGGGTAAATTTAAAATGTTAATTGGGTAGTATTTTTGTGTTCATAAATATATCTGAGAATATTCCTTTTCAATACTTTCACCCAAAATGTATTAATCCATCAGCTTTTTTTAAGAATCAAAATTCAGGCCAACACTCCGAAACATAAGATTTTGTCAAAATTCCACCAGAATTGGAGAAGAATTAAAAAAGTTGTGATCAATTTGGGTACATTTTTTGCTGGCCGTTTTTTTGCCAGTAAGGGTTTTTCATTATTCGTTGAACATTTCAATAGAACTCATAACTTTCTGAACATTTCTGAAATTTATGAAATTCAAATGATTTTCATCACACACTGGCACAATTAGGGGAACGGGTAAAATTTACACTAAGTTTGACATCAATTTTCTCTCGAACCGATAACTCGATTCAAATTTGTTTTTCACGAATTGTAGCTTCATTCTTCACGAAAACATCTGAGAAATAACCACCTCCAAACGATTCGTCTTCATATCATAATATAAAGGGGTGTAAAGAAAGTACGGATTTTTCGGTATTCTTTGAGACATCCTGTGGAGTGAACCACTGATAATTGAAACGATTTTCCAACACCAAATTATAGCCCAATCTATCCCGAATATTTTCGTTTTCTATTCATCTTGATATCCCAATTATCCAAGAAAATATAGAGTTTCAAAGAAGAGGTGGATATTGGTATTAATTTTACCACCTCGAAACTCGAACTGGGGAGAACTTGTCGTGTTTCAACTTGTTTCTGTGAGGATTTTTACTTCAAGATGAGAATTGTTCACAGTTTCACCTATCGGTTTACTGTTTAAAGACACATATACGAATACTCTCATGGATATGCAGGGGTGATAAAAGTTGCTCCAATGTTCTTTTGGTGAAATGCTATTTTTGTTAATCAACGTTGGCTCTTTTGTTAATGCCATTAATTATTGTCAAAGTCAAGCGATTCACAATTCATAAATTTGATTAATGAAAATTCAACGTGAGAGATTTGACTCCTACTGATGTGGCGAGGGCTGTAGCATTAATTGAAAATGACCAGTGGGCCAATGTTCTTTTAACATATGAGAGCCGCATCTGCACCAATTCAATAGATGGCAGGGAAATACTATATCGCCGAGGTGAACAAAATGAACAATTTGATTTTACTGCTTCTGTCTCCTATGGCAGAGGTTTAGTCATGGTTAGGTTAGGTTAGTCAAGAAACCACACATTTTCAGATCCAATTAGAGTTTTGAGGTGTAAAATTGATACCAATATCCACATTTCCTTTGAAACTCTATATTTTCTTGAATAATTGAGATATCAAGATGAATAAAAAACGAAAATATTCGGAATAGATTGGTCTCCAATTTGGTGTTGAGAAATCGTTTCAATTATCAGTGTTTCAGTCCACAGGATGTAAAAAAAAAATACCGAAAAATCCGTACTTTCTTTACACCCCTGTATATGATGGAAAGACTCATCGTTTGAAGGTAATTATTTCTCAGATGTATTCGTGAAGAATAAAGCTACATATCGCGAAGAAAAAAATTTTAATCGAGCGATCGGTTCGAAAGAAAATTGATGTCAAACTTAGTGTAAATTTTGCCCGTTCCCCTAATTGTGCCAGTGTGTGTATTTCATTGAAATGTCGAGTGAAATTTCATTTCTTGACTTGAAGTGAAGTTTTTCCAACCCTACTTACAGGACAAGCGCTCACCGTTCTCGGGCAGTGCTTGGTCCAGATTGTAGGCCACGGAGGCTGTTATGACAGGGCGAGAGCGATGCTTCTCTACGTGAAGTGTCTGGTGGCGGATTCGCATCGAATGGCAGAGGACGAGAGGAAAAAATTGATTCTGGATTGCGCCGGGATGCTGGAGCAGGTCAAGGAGGATTTCAGGAAAGTGGAGGCGTTCTCTAGGATGCAGGATGTGCTGTTTCTACAGGTAATATAGAGTCTAGGGGTTGGGTGTTTTCATAGGTGAAGCATCTTGTTGGGCCAATACTCGGGCCAATATGCTTCCACCGAGGTATCAATATTTATTTATGTATTTATTTGATTATTTGTTCATTCATTCATTCATTCATTCATTCATTCATTCATTCATTCATTCATTCATTCATTCATTCATTCATTCATTCATTCATTCATTCATTCATTCATTCATTCATTCATTCATTCATTCATTCATTCATTCATTCATTCATTCATTCATTCATTCATTCATTCATTCATTCATTCATTCATTTATTTATTCATTTATTTATTCATTTATTTATTTATTTATTCATTCATTCATTTATGTTCAAGGCTCAACAGGATGAGTTATAACATCCCAATTACAGAAATGCTCAGTAATAAATAGTTATTTTCCGTCGACCTCGTATTAACGACTGAGTTTAATGTATATGAAATCATTCATTGATGACCCCTATTAATGAACGATTTGTCTATTAATGCACGATTGTTTTATAGGCAACCAAACATACACCGCGTGCATTCATTGTTTATGCTATAACTTACGGAATCTGCATTTAAATCGAAAATATGGATTTCATCGAAGATTTTCCGTTCGGGTTCGCCTTTCCAAGTTTCTGACACGATTCCAATCCCTGTTTTCTAACACAAGGAATTCATTTCCTATGTTGATCATTTCGACAAATGTCAAATGTCACTAATGTCAGTAACAAGGCTACTGGGTGATTCTTAGCAGTTTCCGGATGGATGATGAATTGGCGAACCAAGTTTTCTTCATTGCAGGAGAAATGAGAAATATAGTCGACGGAAAAATTTTGTAACCAACTTGTGTATCAAAAGGCGATTAATGATCTCGAACATTAACGCACTCGCTTCGCTCGCACGTTAAAATATTTCGATCATTAATCGCCCTCATTAATACACTATAGTTGGTTAAATAACTATCAACCAACTAGTGTATTAATGAGGGCGATTAATGATCGATATATTTTAACGTGCGAGCGAAGCGAGCGCGTTAATGTTCGAGATCCTTAATCGCCTTTTAATATACGAGTTGGTTACAAAATTTTTTCGTCGACTACACTTCTGGTGTTTGGCTTTAATTTATGATCATAGCAGAAGTTTTGAAATCTGTGAATGTCAAATTGAAGGTCGATGCAGTCGTTCATATTGATTGTTTTATAAAACTTCATATTGTTAGCATACTGGAAAAAAAATTCAGTACAGAAAGAGACATTTTTGTGTGAAACTTCAAATCATTCGCCCAAATTACTACTACTATTGCCACTTCTATTGCATTTGTTGATTATTGTAGAAGCGATACTCTATTCATCGAACTAGCGAAGTGTAGTTCATTCCAGTTGAGAAAAAAGCGTGTGGTGAGATAACGATATCGTTATTTATGGATATTTATGATGAACCAGTTGAACAAGGGAAGTAGCTACCGGTCAGCTGGCTATCAATCATTTGGAAATATAATCAAAACATTGGGTTGATTCACTATCAATGTGTGGTTCTTTCGGAAATGCCGGTAATCGACCGGTACAATTAGAATTGTCGCAGGATACGCGGATTCCATTCTCATTATCATTCAGCTGATCTAGCCACAAGCGACGAGATACTACAACCTCAGTTTCGAAAATTAATTTTATTATTGTGTTATCCATTCAGAAACTATTGATTCAATCAATTTCATATATTTTTCGAAATATTCTGTCTATCCAACTACAAAATAGCCACAATGCTCAAAGTGGAATGAAATGTTGAATAAAACATTCATTTTATGAAGAACCCCTCAGTCTCAGCCATATTCAGGGCACAACCATTCATTTGCACCTATTATTCCGGACATACTTCCGTCATATGTGATAACGAGTTGAAACAAAAAGCAAATGAAAGGGAAAAAATCCATTTTGCGAATATCCAAACGTGCCGCGAATCAAACTGATCTAAGTTAGTGGCAGATCGTCAATATTTCCGTGAATATTTCGCCCTCGCCGAAAGATAATATCCGATGGACCAGTGTGAAGCTCATGTGGTGCTCACATCACAAGGATTCTAATCCACATGTAGGGTTTTACAATGGTCCATCGGATATTATCTTTAGAGGGGGGCGAAATATTCTGGGAAGTATTGACGCTCTGCCACTAACTTAGATCAGTTTGAATCGTGGCACGTTTGCTTCTTGTTTCAACTCGTTATCACATGACGAAAGTATCTCCGGAATAATAGCAGCAAATAAATCTTTATCAAATCGCGAAATCGAGTGCTAATTTCCGGACAGGAGTTTGAAATTAATTGCACAGAATACATATCAATAAAGTTCATGCAAAAACAGGTATCTCCTTATAGTAAATTTGGGTGATGCATTACTATTATATCATTGAGTTTGAGTCGGCTATATTGATAAATCATTATTCTGCATATTCAGATTTGAAATCATAAACACGTTTTTGTATCAGGAAATACCCATAGTGGAATACCCAGTCCACAAATTATTCACAATCTCACTCACTACCAATGAGTATGTCTTCAAATTGGAAATTGTCAACTCGGCATGTTTGGATTAATGTTAAGGAAATAATATATTCAAATTCTATCATTGTATTAGTACAGTATTAGTACACTATGAGTACAGTATAATTATAGTATTAGTACAGTATCAGTACAGTATTAATACAGTATTAAGTACAGTTTTAGTACAGTATTAGTACAGTATTAGTAGGTATCATCACCTGTGAAATAATGGCCCTCATGAATTGAAATATGAAATAGACTTTAGATATATTCATTCGTTAAATGTTTACTTGTTGGTAGAATAGGTAATTTGTAACATTAATTCACTGTTTTTTCTTTTCAGAGTCAGTTGTATAGTGTTTTGAATATGAGAGCAGAAAGAAACAAATGTGCCCTGGAATTTAGACTTCTGGATGAAGAACAAACACCGAAAAATGTTTATACATTAGTCAAATTTGTCTAGTATCTAAGATAATGTTGTATTCAGTTTTTCTTATTCCATGAATAAAATAATTTTGAGACACCCAATTTTTACTGATTACTCACAACAGAAAAAGGATACAGGGAGTTCCAGTGGAGCAGTTTCTAGCAACATTTATTTGTTTAGTTTCCAAGAAATTCGCACGTCCTTGTAGCGGGTGAAATAAAAACAGTTTCACAGGGGATTTTTTCTGCTTCTTGAATCAAAAAACGATACATTTTCCCTATCTGAGAAAATATATGAAAGTGAATGAATTTAAAATTGAACACCCTGAATCACCATTGAAATGACCATTCGGAGAGGTTTCTAAAAATACCTCACTTAATATAATTATAGTTATTTATTATACAAGGGAAGAAAGTAGTAGATTGTGTATAATACACCATTTTTTCTGTGACAGAAGAAAGGACGAATCAATATTGAGAAGATATATTATATTATTTTGAAATCTAAAAATTATCGACATGAAATTTTAAGTTTTCAACAGTAGGGACACCTGCGTTGTAGGCATCTTTTTCATTCTTTTGAAGTAATCAAATATCTGATGTCACTTCTGTCAGTCTAATTCTGTGATTTGATTTCAAAAAATTGCGAATTTAGTGGTTGTTTAGTAATATACGTAACCGCGAAGTCGAATGGAAGATAGAAGGATTTGCAGTTCTTTCTCGGAGACGGTATTATTGACTCATTTTTCGGAACTATAGCACAACAAAAGCCATCAACAGTGTGTACATCGTATATGTGATGTATGATGCAAATGTATGGAATAAATTCATTTCAAAACAAGACGACTTCCGAAAAATATCCAAAAAGTAGAGTTCAGAACTTTTTTATCGATGTATTTTTTCAACTAGACGACCCTTCGATGTTCAATTCTCAATAGAAGATCTCTGCAAGATTCAGTTAACCAAATGATAATCCATTTTAATTTCAATCTTCATTTGCAAAATTTTGACTATCGGATAGACGATCAGTAGACCTTTCAAACGAGGTGTCACATGACCCCTGTTTGTATTTAAAAAAAACCGTCCATTACGTCATTACTCCAACACCGCGGTGACGTAACATCTCTCATATAAATGTCATGAGATGAGGTTTCAAAAATTAAAACTCACGTGTTTTTGGAATTTCTTCAAATGTCGCCCATTTCTGAAATAATGAATTTGTTCCATACATTTGCATCATACTGTATATCCGGGATAGGAGTACTCACTTTTTTCTCACGGGAAAAAAGTAATTTATGAAAAGTGACATTTTATAACCTGCCAACAGAGATGAAATGCCAAACTTTTTTCCCGTCACAGAAAAAACTCCTTTATTTAATTCCTTGGCAGCCAAAACTATAACAGAATTTGAAATTTAGAAGAAACTGCGAGAGAAGTTTATAACAATCATATTCAAAATATCAGTTCATTACACTATATACAGAGATTATATAATCTCTGCGATATATGTACATGCGTACTAGATAAAAAAGCGTACATGAATTAAATAGATAGATAGTTCTATATAGTTGTGTAAAACTGGCTCAACTAATATGCTTTGTGTTTTTGAGAACTTACGACAAAATTTACTTTCAACATTTGGTAAACAATCATTACCGATATAGTCCGTTTTATGCAAATAGGAAGTTGATTTCTCTCTGTAATAATACTTGTACGCTTTCTGTCAATACGACTGTACCAAATTTTATGAATCTCTATATTAGTGAGTATATTTTGCCGGTCGTGGGTTCGATTCCCATCGACTGCAGACATTTTTCTGATGGCCCAAGAAAGTGTTTGGGATCACACGTTAAAAGGTAAGGCCCCCGTCATTCCTTGCTCGCACAAGACTCTCGAAGACTTCTGAGGGTTGCTCGTAAGGGGGCAACCGAATGACGGATAGAACAATAAAAAAAAATTAACAATTAAAAATCAGGTTAGGTTACAATAAATTATTCTAGAAAACCTACATACAATAATTCTACATTCTGTTATATCATTTTTTTGATGTTGTTTTCGAATTAGACTTTTCAAATGAAAAAAGATTAACTATAGGTGTAACGCATAAAAAAAGATAGTAAAGTAATAAGCCGAGTGTAGTTATATATACTTATATCTAAAACACATTATTGAAGACTCGAGCGCTATAGTTATATTTCATCGAAATGGATCTATATGTGCGGGTATTTACAAGATTAATTCGAATCAATGTTCTTACATAAATTTACAATAATTATTCGGAAGTGACTGAGCATTCATTTCGGACAGAGTCGGTTTCAGCGCGTATACCTAGTTTGATAATGGGCGAGTGGACTGAAAATGAATTATTGGCATTCAATTACTCCACTTTGTCTTTAGGGACCTGAATCAATTTTTGCAATACTTCTCACGCTTTTTTTGTTAATAATGAGTCTATGTATGTATGTATATATATGTATGTGTGGGCGGTCCGGGACCTGACGCACTTAGTGTAATTGCAAATGACTACACCTACCCGGTGTAGAGATATGTATCGGTTTGTAAAGGTACAAAGACGAGTATCAATGAATGATAAGGTGATTTCAATACAAAATAGCTTTACTGAACCAAAAGTATAAAGTTTGACAAATCTATCAAAAATTGCTAATTCATTTTTTTAACATTTCAAAATTGTTTTTGTCATGGTGAATCCTACAGGGCATTTTCTTCTGAATTTTCAACATTCTCCCACCTTGAGTCACACTACGAAGTGACTCGACAAAATGTAACAATAAAAACTACTTGTTGAACCTGGAGGGGATCTTGACTATTCTACCAGATCTTGTCGTCACCACTGGAGTCACCTCACATGGTCTAATAGGCTCAAGTTTTTCTTCTGATTCTCTCTCTGAATCTGCTTGTTTGGATGGTTGTTGCAGAGAATTTTTCAATTTAGATATCAAATCAAGATCATCCTCTTGATCGACTTCTAGGGGATACAATCTCTGTAGTGGTCTCAGTAATATTCCATTTGCTGTTCGAAGTCGCACTAATCGAATTTTCCCATCTTTTCCAGGAAATATTTCATCGACAATACCCAAAGGCCAATCGAGTCTCTTGACTCTCTCGTTTCCGATCAACACAATGGCTCCTAGCTTTACAACATCCTGATTATTCTTCGTTTTCCTCAGAACTAGCTGGCTCAAATATTCATCTCGAAATCTTCTTCTGAGGTCACATCTAATTTTGTATAAATATTTCAAATGTCGCTTCATAGATGTAGCATCAATCTCATCCAAATCATAAGTTCCAACTTCTTTCACGTCAAGTAGAAACATAGACGGAGTAATCGTAACGTATTGTTCATTATCTTCTGTGATATATGTTAATGGTCTTGAATTTATAATAGCTTCACAATCACAGACGACTGAAGACAGCTCTTCATATGTTAAACAAGCTTTTCCAAGTTGTTTTCGCAAAAGTTGTTTCAAAATCCTAATCAAACGCTCCCACCAACCACCCCACCATGCTGCGCTGGGTGGATTGAATTTCCATCTGATTCTAATTATCGTACTCTCCTGTTCAATTTTTGTCCAATCCAGTAGTTTGAGTGAGTTTTCAGTCCCAACAAAATTTGTTCCGTTATCCGTGTATACTACAGAAGGCCGACCTCTCCTGGCAATGAATCGTCGAAAAGCTAATAAAAATGTTTCAGTCGACAATGAACAGACAAGCTCTAAATGTACGGCTCTGTATACTGCACATGTAAATAAACAGATCCACACTTTCTCTTTTGATTTGAGAAATAGTGGTCCAGCTAAATCAATCCCTGTGACCTCAAAAACTGCAGCATCTCTGACTCGATCACACGGTAGAGTAACTGGGTCTGTCGTTAAATTCTTGGCATTATGTCTTTTACAAGTGACACATTTAGAAATGACGGACCTGACAGTTTTCCTTCCTCTGACAATCCAAAACTTTTGACGAAGTCTACAGAGTAATCCTTGAATTCCTACATGGTATCCTTCCAAATGGAAATGTGAAATAATTCGTTCGGTAACAGGATGCTTTGCAGGCAAAAGAACAGGGAATAGAAAATCATTGGTGTCATCTCGTTGGGAAATTTTTGTCTTGATTCTTATCACGCCTTTTTCATCTTCAAATGGGCAAAGAGAAGAAATATTTTTGTCTCGAGTATCTCCAAATGATTCTAATTGAACCAATCTGATCAAGGCGGTTTCCGCTTCTTCAATTTCTTCAACAGACAAATTACCTCTTTTCTTTCCTTCAGGAAAACGAGAGTTGAAAATAAACCTCCTAATCCATCCCATCTGATTCAATAACTTCTGATACTTATGAAAATATCTATAAAATATTGAATAATCACTTTGTACATTTAGACAAGATTTCGTGGTATCCTTCCGCCTTTCCTCTATGACTTCCTCCTCGTGTACTTCAAATTGTTGTCGTGGCCAGTCACCTTCATCACGTAACCAAGTTGGTCCATTCCACCATTCAGAAAGCAATAACTTTTTTGAAGAACACCCTCTCGATGGAAGATCAGCTGGATTCATATGGCCAGGAACGTGATACCAACAGTTTTTATCAGTCAATTTTCGAATCTCCTGAATCCTATTCCAAACAAATGGCTTCCAATAATCTTCCCTTTGAATCCAAGACAGAACTGTAGTTGAATCGGTCCAACAATAAACAGGAAGATCAGATTTTTTAAGATTCTCTATTACTGAAGACAAGAGCCTGCATCCTATCGTAGCCCCTAATAATTCCATCCTAGGAATTGTCACCTTCTTTATTGGAGAAATCCTATTCTTTGCTTGAATCAACTGAACACTGGTTTCAGATCGAAGAAATACCACTGCAGCATAGCCCTCTCTACTTGCGTCACAAAACATATGAAGACTCCACTGCAAAGAACCATCAACAAGCAAACATCTCGGAACTCTTACCCGATTCAAGAAATATAATTCTTTTAACCATTTCAAAAAATCATTCGAAATTTCCTGAGAAACTTCCGAATCCCATTTCAACTTTAATTTCCAAGTTTGCTGCAGTAATATTCGAGGAACAATTTGCACTGGACAAGA